AACTTACCTTGAATTAAGGCTATTCTGTTGATTCTCGACAGGTCATCGCCCAACGCCAGCAGTATACACAGACCAGTGTACGTCATCGCTAGATGGCCGCATCGAAATTGATTGTTATCCGGATCCAGTCTTATGTTTATCGTTGAGGAGCCTTGGAAGCCGCATAGTGACATGTCGCCCGCTGTAAATCGTTAGAACTTCTAAAAACACTTAAATCTCCGTAATTATCTACCCCAAAAGCTGTAAGGCTCAAAAGATTTCGTTGAAGAAGACAGTGGCGTTATAGTAGTTGAGAGAGAGGCAAGGCAGAGTACACGCTTGAGGTTTATCCCGCATTAGGGGAGCAACGCCCTCCCTGATCATATTTATAGGTCCTGTCTGCCGACAGCATTGATCGCGGAAAACAATGCTATACTTCTGCAACTTAAGCTTGTCGGAGAGGGCCGCTAATCGTGAGGAGGTGGGGGCAGGGTTTAAGATTTCGATCGGCCATCTGTACGTAGCTGCTTTAGATCTGTTAAATATTGCTTATGGAACCGGCAAAGGGTTTACGTTCTCGTTCTATGTGTTGTCATTACAATGAAGAGAAACGTGATAACAAAAAGTCGCGCTGCTGATCTATGCTAGTTCTAACAAAGCGGAGTATTCAACTTCCCCAATCAAAGAAGCTGCTGGGTCTCAGATTGGGTGTTTGCTAATGACCCGACTATTCATGTCAGTTTTTAAGAAAAAGTACGTAATATCTCGGTGTACTTAGTTCGTATTTGCGGTAGATACACATAAAAATCCTAGCTCGCGGCGGCCGCTTTTACAGGTGGTCGTCCTGGTAAGGTGCTTGTGAGCCCGCTCGGTAAGGTACCAACCACCCCCTGCCTATTTTGGCCGTGAAGCAGTAATAAGTTTCAATTCGAAGGATGGGGCAGCCGTTGTACCGCAAAAACGGAGACTTGGAACTCATGTCCCAAGGTGGGTAGCAGCATTTACGTCGTTGAAGACTATGAGCTCTGGTAACCACTAAGTACTAGTTGGCCCGTCCACCCATCTATACAATAAAAAAAAACTTGTAAGACGTTTAACTTTGACTATTCAGAATTTCAATCAACTGTAATAAGTTCCAAAGTACTGAGTAAATTCTGCAAGATAACCTACCAAGCATTCATTCGGTAACGTAAATATTTAATCAGATGCTTATGTAAATTAAGAGGTGCAATTCTAACTAAGTTTAACGTATATTCGCGCAGCGTTATAAATATTTTCTGGTACTTTGTTATTATAAAGTTTCTGTATTAACAAACTGGGAAACAAATAACAAGAAAAATCACATTATAAAAGACGTCCATACATAATGTTTCGTCTTTACGGTCAACAATCTGTATATTGACATTACTCATGGCTCATTGTTGTCAGAAACTGCTTGAGAATTAGCCTAGATAGGAATTCCGCTAGATGCAAGTATAGTCGGTAACCAATATGAAACGAAATTTAATATTCTATTAAACATGTGATAAAAACTATATATCTTTTTAACATTTCTGACTGGTGGTAGGACCTCTTGTGAGTCCGGACGGGTAGGTACCACCACCCCGCCTATTTCTGCCGTGAAGCAGTAATGCGTTTCGGCTTGAAGGGTGGAGCAACTGTTATAACTATACTGAGACCTTAGAACTTACATCTCAAGGTGGGTGGCGCATTTACGTTGTAGATGTCTATGGTCTACGGTAACCACTTAACACCAGGTGGGCGGTGAGCTCGTCCACCCATCTAAGCAATAAAAAAAAACATGCTTAAATAAGCAGACTAAACGACAGCTCTCCTAATATTTAGCCTATGTCTAATCACAAAATCAACAAACCGAAGTATTTTATGTACATGGCACTCCCTGGATACATATATTTATGTACATATCCGTGACGAATTTACGTAAATAAGTCAAAATTGCAAGAACAAATTGATTATAAAACTAAATAGAATTTCGATAAGTATGTTCTATTCGAATATAAATTGTAAACAAAAATACATTTAAGGATTGGGACGCCAATCACCACCGTCCTTTTAAATTAAAAGTGATAATAAAACAATTTGGTTGCATAGCAAAATCGACTAACAATTTGACAATTAAACCGGTTTATTTTTAATTTATTTGTCAATTGCGACTAACTGAATTCAAACCTCTTCTTCTTTTTCTCCACCTTATCCCACTAGGTGGGGTCGGCACAGCTAATGTTTCTCTTCCATTCTCTTCTATCAGCCGTCATCTCAACACACCTCTCTCTCTCATATAGTCATTCACACTCTCCAACCATGTCTTCATCGGTCGACCTCTTCCCCCTCTACCTTGCACCATTTCCATACATCTGCTAGTCACATGCATCTTCTCTCTACGCATCACATGTCCATACCACGCTAACCACCACGCTAACTGAATTCAAACCTAACAAAATAAATTAGGTTCATATAATATGCATATTTATTTCATTATATAACTAATTGCTTTTACGTTTATCATACAAAAACGTAGTCATTACATAATACCGCTTCGTTCTGAAATTATTGTTTTTCTACTACCAGTTCTCTGAGTGAGATAGCTTTTTACGAACAAAATCGGACTTACTGTTTTTATTTTTGATTAAGATTACAATAATCAAAATAATAATTCCAACACGACCGTACCATTCAACATATGATTTTCAATATTACTGGTGGTAGGACCTCTTGTGAGTCCGCGCGGGTAGGTACCACCACCCTGCCCATTTCTGCCGTGAAGCAGTAATGCGTTTCGGTTTGTAGGGCAGGGCAGCCGTTGTAACTATACTTGAGACCTTATATTTCAAGATGGACGGCGCATTTACGTTGTAGAACTCTATGGGCTCCAGTTACCACTTAATACCAGGTGGGCTGTGAGCTCGTCCACCCATCTACGCAATAAATAAATAAAATGAAAGCTGTGGCCAGTGAGTGCAACAATCGTTTGAAATCGCAATCAAACAAGGTTCAAGCGGTTGCCATAAGCATAATAATATAAACACTACGCGACATTTTGAGACTACAGATATAAAACAAAAATACGTAATCGCTTCTCTACGCAAATAAGCAGTACCATTAACCCACGAAGTTTCCCGCCGGATCTTCGTAGTGGGTTGCGATTTCGATCCCACGAAAGATTCAGCGAAGCACTGCTCTGTCTAGGGCCAGTGTTAGCAATTCTCTCAGGTTGAGCCCGTGAGCTCACCTACCGGTTCTTGAATAGTCGGAATAGCTCCTTAACCTACAACGACTAGGTAGAGACAAAAAATCAGTACCGTAGTACAAACATAGAGCACTCACAGCAAACCTACGACATAAAGAAATAACTAAACTGATATTGATTAATCAGATTTTTCCACGTGGAATACAATATTCACTATCTACATATTATGTATATTTAAAAGAACAAAAACGGAAGACTGTTCAAATAAACTTGATAAACACGTTAATAAAGATTTATTTATGATGCCTAATGTGTTTTATTGCACGTATTATAATGTTATGTGCGAGTTTGTAAATGGTGGAATTTGAAAATACGTTGGCTTTATTTTTTTTCGTGCGCCTAAATGTATCGAAATTAGACATTAAAATCATATAAAATGGATGGAAACTTTACAATTGTAACTATTTCAAACAGGAAGTAATATAAATTGTACAGTATTTATTAGCCAGGCCAGAAAAAAAATTGTTTGTACGGGTGTACGACCTCACAGCTCACCTGTTAAATAGTTATGAGAGTCCAGAGTCATCAACAACGTAAAGGCCGCGAGCCAAACCTTGAGTCAAACATTCTAAGTCACAGTTCTTTAATACAATGGCTGACACAACTTTCAACCTGCTTGCAGGCAGTAATAGGAAAGGTTTATGCTACCTACCCATGCGAAATCAAGACAACCTTTGTTTTTCGAGTGGGGGGCCGAACCTCTTAGGAGGTATCCGCGCCTAGGGGGGCAAGCAGGGTATGTGGGACTTGACGGCATGCAGATGTTGGGAGCAAACCGCGGGCCCAAGGATATTTTTGGGACCCTACCGCATCAAATGACTCCCCCTGCACTCTTACACCTGACGTCTAATCTTCGCCCGGGGTCAGAACCCGGTCAGAGTAGGGGAGTTCCTGCGGTCAACACAACAACGAGACTCGCGACCCCTCCCCCCCCGGGACCCCTGATCGATGGTTTGTCGAGGCGATAGACGACGACTAACCACGCCGGTCTGCACGAAAAAATTGGTACCTGTCTGTCGGATTCGAACAGCGGCACATTCACATCGATCGATATGAATGAACCGGACTTATCCTTTAGGCCACGACGCCTTTTGTGTTAGTTCCACTTTCGTGTGACTTAGTCTCTAATCTTTATTCTAAATCTTTTTTTTTTTTGGAGTGAACTGCTCCCCTACAGTTACAACCTCATTTATATATAAGGTAATGAATTCAAAAAAGCAATCATTGGAAGATATTAACACAAAAATGTGAAAAATTTTGATTGTGTACAATTTGATACATGATTTATTTATAGAAAATTTTGCATCTGCACCAAAATCAAACCACGATATAATCTCCTTACTATAAATACTTTTAGGTTTCACCTAACACTTCAAGCATCCTGTTGTACAATAAATCTTCTTGAAAACACTAAACTTGTCATAAATTGTATGAATTTTAGAATTGATTTTAGAAAATTAATAATTACTAAATAGAAAGAGAAGGGATTAGAGAACGAAAAGAAAGAAGGAGAAAGAGAAAGGTATTATACACTACTCGCTTGTGTATGCGACTGTCGCGCCTGCGCACGTCTCATTTAACGGTTTTATTCCACGCACTGTTTTCCACGGATTTATTCCACGCACTTTTTTCCACAGATTTTTTTCTTACGGTTTTATTATCACATTTTTTTCAATTCGGTCGCGCAGCAAAATCCCTATCCCCTCCAAGCCTGCCGTAAGGAACTTCGTTCCAAAATGAATAAATCACTTACTTTCCTTATCAGGATGTACTTGAAGCCTATACAACCATTCAATAATCCTGGATCTCAGATCAAGAGATATTGCTGATATGGATCCTAAGACATCCAGGCCGGCAACAGAGAAATATGCTATTGTAACTCTGAAATGAAGAAAAAATATTTTTCAACACAATTTTCTACCAATCATTCATATTCAGAATTATAAACAAGATGGAACTAAATAAAAGATAGGAAAAAAAATGCACAAAATTAGAAATTTTCTTTTCAATAAATAATTATTTTGATTAATAGTAGGTTTTTATTTCAGAATATAGAAATCTCATAAAGTTAAAGCTTATATTTTATTTAAGCTTATATTTATTTTATTTAATATATTTATTTAAGTATTATTTAAAATGTTAGTAAATCTAGCCTATGGCTGGGATTGGAAAATACTGCGAACCTGGTGGATTAGAGCATTTGTTGGTAATATAGATTTGTGATGGACATTACAGATCCATTGTTGCCACATTAACATACACCATTTATAAATATGCTCATAATATAAACTCACTCATATTATAAATATACTATTATTTTACACTACCCTAATTTAAGATGAGCTGATAACAATGGAAATAGAGGTCAATAAAAGGTAAGCTTGTTTTAAAAATAAAATTCCTACACAAGAAACCATGTACAGAAATAAGTTTAAGTACATTAATAGTGTTGTTATGTAGTTCAGTTCTGGTAAACATGACACATAAATGCTGTCATTTGGAGACATGAAGTCTAAATATTTGCTAAATACAGCTGAAAAGCTGTTCGAACCAGAATCCATGACTATTTGGCAGCTAAAATAATCATGATGGTAAACATTCTTACAGGCTCATGTTACATCCTACATCAAGTGCCGATTTTACAGTGTTGATAATTGTACCAGACTGTATCAAATATATATGTTTCGAGACACAAGCAGTCTTTCCTGTTAAAAGGATGGCTCCAGTATGCTATTTTACCATGTAATTTTATCTCAAAATAAAATAAACTATTATTATATTGAGAGGTGAAAGGCAATTTGGGTTAAGTGATATTTTTGCAACTCTACAGGTGAGTTTAAAATTTGGAAAAAAATATCATAACAAAAAACTTCTTCAGCTATTTGAATGGGGTAAGCTTAATTGATTTCCAATTAAAAACATTGGATTGTTGATAGTAATTTTTATTTAGAGGATGGAAATTGAAAATTAATTTATTAATTTTCTGGTTGAAATCATACATTGTGTTTTTTTGTTGTTAAATATTGTGCTTTTATTTACACTAAGAATTTTATATAATCTTGAGTGGTAATATCTGATATGGAATATTCTTTTGATACGATCTAATGAAAATAAGTAAGCTCAAATAAAACCGGTAATCAGTCGTTCGAAATGTGAAAGTTTTGCAGCCAAGGTGAATATTTCGGTAATTAAAAACACAGGAATCAACTTTAAATTTTTCAACTTTAAAAGCTTACCTTGTAGTATCGTGTGATGATAGAGACGAAGGCAAAATATTCAAAAATCTCATGAAATATTTTACGTGCTGACGATGAGCCATATCCTTGTTTCCTTCGTTATTCATTATTGTACGATAACTGTTTTGGGCTTCTAAGTACAATTAATTATTGTAACTTTAATTAAAATTTATCCTTATTTATAAATATGAATTTGATTCACATATAGAAAATAAGCACACAATTTATCTCATAATTTTTAATAGTTAGTAGAACTGTTTTTAACTTTAATTTAGAAACGACAAAAAATCCAAAAAGTATACCGACACACAACCTCTCAACTGCTCTGACATATTCTAGCAATGACAATTGCTTAAATATCCAAATATAATCACTATTCCAATGGCTTAATGTCGAAAATAAAAACAAATGAAATTAAACAAGAAAGGCTTAAAAGAAAATTAGACTTTAACTGCATACAGTACAGTCGTTTTCCGAGAAACTCAGGCAAAACTATGACGACCAGAATATAAAATTAATTTATGACTATGACTGACTTTTTCTTTATATAAATTGGCAAAAGGAACAAAGCCTATATGAGATACTTTTTTTAAGGGATTTTATGACCTGGTAACAAAGACCTTTAAGTCATGTCTTATTTTAGTTTTTAATCTTATTTTTATGAAAAATGATAAAATGGAATGAAATGCAATAAATATGATTAATTTGAGACATTCATCAACTGGAATGAAATTAAATGACGAGATGATATGGGATGAAATATAATCTCAGTAAAATGGTGGTCATTTACTGAGATTTTTTCAGTGGACTTTTTGGAGGATCCCGAGAACTTATGTCCAGCGGCTTTGTTTCATTTTCCCACATTTGTGCACTTTCACAGATATTAAACAGTTAATAAACCACCGTTATTACACATTTAAACCTGAAGAAACACTAAATAGACAATATAAAACAAATCACACAACTTCACTCCTCGCGCTCCCGCCAAAAAGTCCATATGAGATACTGAATAATACTGATCATAGATTATACACGTAATATATTTGAGAACACTGAATAATCTTTCCACCTCAGTTTTTGAAGAAGGAACTGTTAGTAAAAGTGAATTGACAACATCAAGGTTTTCGTAAATGAAATTACCACGATAATCTTTCATGGTACATGAAGTACCTATATATTACAATACAAGTAAGTTCTGGTGACATCAACGAAAATAGGTAAATAAAAATTTGGCGGATTATACTTATTAGGATTCTGGGGAATCCCTAAGAAAAAAGCAGTGGTTTAATCTATGATTTACTTTACTAGAGGGTTACTAGTACAGGCTTTGCTTTTTACCCTGAAATTCCCTAAATTATTATATTTTTCAAATTGTCTTTCACCATCTAAAATATCAGCTATTTTTCCCTAAAAAGGGTGAATTCCCTAAAAGTGGAAATACTGCTTCAATGTACGCTAACATTTTTTATTGGGTTAGAACTGATATCTGCCATCTAGTGAGTTTATTAGATCATTAATGCCAAAACGTTTCAAAAATGACCTCGCCGCAGGATTACGATGACGCTAGTCGAATGTTTTTTTCCTTTGTATGAGAGTTGCACCCCCCTGATACGGCTTACTGAATTTGGCTCCCCTTTTTTTGGATTTGTTCGTCTTTTATTTATTTAAACTTAATTAAACAAATGATCACCCTTAAGTTGGCCCCCATTACTAGATATCTTTATTTTTATCGTTCAGATTAATTATTTTTGATCAATTTCGTTTGTTCGACGACTATTGGTGATTGTCCGATCATAAAAACAATTAAATTCCCAATTATTAATAATTTTATATCTAATAAGTAAACCATCACCTCACGCCAACATTGCGCATGGGACTGTGGTGGGCAAGGTAGAAGGGAAAAGACCCGCCGGCCGGCCACCAAACCGTTGGTCAGATCAGATAACTCACTGGACTCTCTGTTGCGACCGCCCTGAGAGAAGCCGAAAACCGAAGGAAATGGAAGCTGATGGTACAAAGAGCCACGAAGGGCTTTCAGGAACACGACCTTCAGCAATGAAGTATGCGACTAAGAAGAAGTGCATTTGTTCTTGGACCGGAACCATGACGAAGCGATAAAATCGATAAAAAAATTTCACTGGTGGTAGGACCTCTTGTGAGTCCGCGCGGGTAGGTACCACCACCCTGCCTATTTCCGCCGTGAAGCAGTAATGCGTTTCGGTTCGAAGGGTGGGGTAGCCGTTGTAACTATACTGAGACCTTAGAACTTATATCTCGAGGTGGGTGGCGCATTTACGTTGTAGATGTCTATGGGCTCCAGTAACCACTTAACACCAGGTGGGCTGTGAGCTCGTCCATCCATCTAAGCAATAAAAAAAAAATAAAAAAAAATTCAACAAGCTGTTGTAACCTGTGCTATGATTGCTCTTTTTTTTCCCTACCGATGCTGATAGCCTTGAGAGGCTATTTCAGCTTCACCCTAACGTGTAGGTGAGCTCACGGGGCTCAAACCGGAGTGTTGCTAACACTGACCCTAGCAAGTGCAGTGCTTCGCAGAATCTACCACCGGATCGAAAATGCGACCCAGTGGGTAGATACGGCGAGAAACTCAGTGGGCTGTGTCTGTCGGTCGACTGCTCCTAGTGTTAGAACTAGTACACTTTTGAAAGAGAAACTGGTCCGGCACACGTAGGTCACAGCCAGTGAGTCGCCCCGCATCGTATTGTATTCGCATATCATCGCGTCCGATTGCTACGTAAGTAGTACGATTGAAGTCGTGGTGGCCTAAGGGATAAGACGTCCGGTGCATTCGTGTTGAGCGATGCACCGGCGTTCGAATCCCAGGCGGGTACCAATTTTTCTAATGAATTACGTACTCAACAAATGTTCACGATTGACTCCCACGGTGAAGGAATAACATCGTGTAATAAAAATGAAACCCGCAAAATTATAATTTGCGTAATTACTGGTGGTAGGACCTCTCGTGAGTCCGCGCGAGTAGGTACCACCACCCTGCCTATTTCTGCCATGAAGCAGTAATGCGATCTGGTATGAAGGGCGGGGCAGCCGTTGTAACTATACTGAGATCTTATAACTCAAGGTGAGTGGCCCATTTACATTGTAGATGTCTATGGGCTCCAGTAACCAGTAACACCAGGGGGGCTGTGAGCTCGTCCACTTATCAAAGCAATAAAAATAAAAACGTAAGCGCGTTCGCTCTTTTAATCAGTTAATTGCTTACGTAGTATGCTACGTAACTCGAGGGTGGCAGAATGACTATCAAATGCATTTAAGAAACTAAATTAAGAATTCAATATTAAATAAGGTTATGCATTAGAACTTCATGAAATATAAAGAAGGCGAAAATAAACCTAAAACTAATAGGTGATGACAATTTGATTTTTTACACTTTTAGGAAAGTCATAATGGCAATAGAACGATGTTTTAATTTATAAATTTTGATATTTTTTTTAACGTTTTTAATATTTTATAACACATACTGTGTTTTCATGAAGTTATAATTTATTTAGAATTTACGGGCAAAATTACTGTTCAAAATCAGAAGGTATTTTTTTTATTTTCCTTCTATAGCTATATCTATATGAGCTTTCAATTATTTTAATGTTGTATTCAAAATGAAAAGTGAATTTAGTTGCAGATCGAAAAATATTTAAACCCAATATAAGGGAAATGGCTATAAAAACGTCGTTGGCTGTTAAAGATGACCCATTAGTTTCTCTATGTTCGTTGGATAGTTCTAAAGCGGGAAATTCCAATCGGTTAGTGAAAATAGACTTCTCGACCACAAATCGTAAAAGTAAACATTGGAAATCGAAGAAACATTCCGATTCTTATAAATCGCCGTATCTATACGAAGATAATTATCAGTTGTACTCCAGAACTACCGAAAAAGACGTGGTTCACATTAACGAATATTCCAAAGTCCCATCATCGTTTTCACTGGCTGGTAAAGTTTACAAGGCTAACTCGGACGAATTGAAGCCGGTCAAATTGAGTCAAAAAAAGAAAAAATCTGTTTTAACGCTACCGAATCAGAAAGTGCCGGTACCACGGAACTGTACTGTCAGCGATATGAACGATTCAGAATATTGTAACCAAGACAGCAATCGTAAAACAAAAACTAAGAAACGCAGCTGCCCCTCGAACGTCATGTGCCGTCAGAGAAAAGCTGAATACAATGGTTATAATTGTTATTTAAATATGGACAGCAGTTCTACGACCTTAACCAAAAAATGCTCCAAAGGTAAAAAAACCAATGCAATGAAGAAAAAGAAACACAATCGCGAACAACAATCAAACGACCACAACAATCACCAATTTAACACGCACGACATGTGGTCGGTCCTGAAAAGCATGAACAAGTTCCAATTTAAACCGTCACCGCCAGCATCGGAGGATAGTAATTCAATATTTTTTCCAAAGAATATTAGAGCTCGGAGAGGTTTTAAAAACATCCCGAAAAGTCGAAAAAGCACAAGGTATTTGATTTGAATTTCACGATCGCCTTTTACGTTAATTTTGTTTTAATTGACATATAAAATTTCAGTTATGCCGAAACGTGTCGAACTGAAGAGTTTGCCTACATTTCCAGTATCGAAGTAGATAGTAGGTGCCCAAGAAGTTTTTCGCATTCGTCGAGTTTCGATCGCATAACGGTTATCAACAATGAAGAGGATATTGAAAATATTTTTACCGCAATACAAGAAAAACACGAAACACCCACCTCCTACCCAGCTTTAAAAAATGAGAATATCAATAAACGCAGCCACGTCGACGGAAGACCTCAAAAGAAAAGGAGACAAAAAATGAATGACTTACACTCATTTAACAATGATAATAAATCAATTATAAACGTAATCGTTTGCAGTAAATCTACATCTGAAGAATCGGAACCGGTTATTGGAAAAGGAACCAAGAAAATTACGAAAAACTATGGACAATTAAAACAGCTTACTGAAATCGAAAGTAAACCTATAAAACAACAAATTCGTAGCAAAATCAGTTCGATCAAAAACATGAACCAGTCTCATAAATCGTTAATAGAACAACATATTAATTCAAATACCATAGAAAATTCTCGTAAAGGTAATGTGTTCATATTAATTTATCAACATTGCAAATTTTGACTTAATCCCTTGATATTTTTAATCATAGTGTATTTTTATTTAAATTTCTTGCAGTCGATAAAAACCAAGCTAAAGATTACAACAAATTTAATAAAGTAAACATTTTACCTAAAACTCCTGTGAAACAGCTCGAAATCTCTGATACTACAGAAGAAAATAATAACCGAATTTCTAAAATCATGATAGAGAAATCTACCTTGACTGATGTCAAAGATATCGCAAATATTAAATATCCACTGGTTATTATTGGCGTGCACCAATTTACCTCCGCTTATTGTGTGAGTAATGGTGATCCCCCAAAAGTAACATGGATTAATAATGATAATTACATCGATGAAGAAAAAATGCAGCAATTTATTGTGAAAATGGATTCAGTTGCCAGGAAAAATGGACGGACTATGGACAAACAAAAACCGACACAGAAGAAAAAGTCTGCAAATAATACAAGCGAAAATAAGCACGTTACAAATAGTAAGCCTAAAGAAACTATGAAACATAACCCTATTCGTCAATTTAGGGACTCAATTTTGCAATTCCTACACAAAAAGTCTTCGGTACGATCTTGTAGGGATGATAATAAAACATCTTGTAATGGCACCACTTGTACAACTAAATCAAATGTCAACAACATAAATGTTGCAAAGCTTGAAAGTAATGAACAATCTCATACAAAAGATATATCTGTAAAAGAGCAATCTTCAAATGTACGTAATATTGTACTAAGGCCATCGTTGGCATGTAATCCACGGACTAAAGGAAAATGGGCAAATGATTTTGTTGAAAACGTTATCAAGAAAATTAAAAACGGCATATATTATACGCGAGACTTAAAAGATGTTAATGTGAAAAATTTTGACGGTAAGTTCATTCGACACTTTTTAATCGCGCGATAAAAATATGTTAAAGATCTTATAAGAAACCTAAGCCTAAACTATTCAATTTGTCATAATTCAAAACGTATCAAAACTGCAAAGTTTGACCTTTTTTCTGTCCACAGTTTCAAAAAAAGAACCGACAAAAATTGAAGCTTCGGTTAATAATACAAAGTCAGATATAAATATACAAGAGGAAAACAATAATGAAATACCTGTTGTAACTCTTTCAAAAAAAATCGCATCTATCAAAACAATACCAGGGTTCGATGATGACCTTCCTGACATAGAAGTATTAACCATTAACACAAATAAGATCGAAATAAAGCATTTCTTGACAAATATAACTTTGCAATTTGACGTTTTAAGTGCCGATAATTTAATAGAAAAAAGAAAGGAACCAAAAAATTTACTAGAGAATATAAACGGCAATGCTAATATGTTTAAATGTAAAACTGCAATTTTAAATCCAGTTTTACCTGAAGAGCTTTGCACTGTTTTACCTAAAATGATACACGGATTGCTTGCAACTATAAAGCCGAAAACTTCAGTTTTACTTCCACTGAAAAAACTAAAGAAATCTCAACCAAAATTTATTGGTGCAGAATCAATCCGATCATTTGTTAGTTTACCAGAAAAATCCAATGCTCTCATGAATGGCGCATTTGGCAACAGTGTGAACATACTGAACAAGCGATTTCCATTCGCAAATTTTCGTGTTTATAATGAACTAACCCATGCTAATGTGGTCTCAAAAGACATATTACCAATATTAAGAAACCCTTTTTGGCGACCGGTTGAAATAAACACGGTGCACGTAAGAAGAATGAAACATTTTAGCAACCGTGAAATAATGTGTACGAAACCATCGTTACCAACAAGCTATGTAAAAGAAAGAGAGAGATGCAGAGATTTAGTACCATATGATCCAAAAAGTATGTGGCTGCAATCGCAAAGTGGAACTGTTTTCGTTGATAGGAATGATTTTTTTCGTATACTTGGATATTTATGGACATTTTATAAAAAATTCGTGAACGCAATGAGTGAAATTCATTCAAATAGCAACAACGAACCAACCAACAACTTCAAATATAACGTTGTATCCACAAATATACATCTATGTAATTATCAAATGTTGAACAATAACTTTTTTATAATAACAAATCCATTGAATAAAGCTCATAATGCGTTTCATGCGGATTCCTGTAAGCAAATTAATAATTTAAACGGTGTTAAATCTATTGAGTACTATGGTATTAATGGCAAAGAATATTGTTCAGACAATAGTCACAGTCAGCACCAGCAAAAATTAAAAAAATCCAGAATAAAACAAAAACTAAAAAGCAAATCGATTTCTGATATAGACTGTGAAAATCGTAGTAAGCCCTTAAACAAAATAATTAACATCGAAGATTTTTTTGAACTTCTGGGCTCAAAATCCCTTTCGAGTGTTTTTAGTGAACACGTTACTAAAAATATTTTGCAGTGTCTCATAGAGGTATGATCCATTAATTTTTATTTTGTTACAAAGTAGCAAAACCTATTATTTATCTATTGTCTTAAATGTATCGTTTTAATAAATATTCTTTTATTTACATTTTTTTAAATACCGAATGTTGCTATGTATGCCGTGGGTGCGTGAGTAAAAATGTGTAGGTAAACTCAATGGTACCTACCTCACCAATAGCTAAGATATCAAGCTGTGCTTTTTCTAATTACTTAGATCGTATTGTTTATTTTCTCATTATATTTTATGAGATAATGGTGGAAATAACGGCAATAATTAAGGAACACCTATAACAGTAAAAAGTTTTTGATTAGTTACTCTGTGATTTGAAACTCTAAGAACCGAAAAGATAATGCAAAAAAGAAATACGCGTGTAAATCTATAGGGTTAAGCCTCCGAGAGAATGAAATTTTATATTGTTTTATGCTAACTAAAATCTACAGCAGGATAATAAAACATATATAGTACATCCTATTTTCTTGACTTTCAAAAGTCGCTGCATTTACAGTCGACGTTGCCTAAAAACGTCATTTCGGATCCTCCCGATCTACTAACGGTACTTTTAGGTACCCCAAGCACCGGTCATCGTTCTCGTCGAACCCGTCGCTCACGACGAAGGGTTCGGCGAGTAAACACAGACAGCCCACAGAGTTTCTCGCCGGATCTTCTCAGTGGGTCGCGTTTCCGATCCGGCGCGGCGGTAGATTCTGCGAAGCACGGCTCTTGCTAGGGTTCGTGCTAGCAATATCGTCAGATTTGAACCCCGTGAGCTCACCAACTAGTTAAGGTGAAGCTGTTAAGGTCTCTCTAGACCAGTCTTTCTCAAAGTGGGCGATAACGCCCCCTGGGGGGCGTTTGAAACCTAGAGGGGGGCGTTAAGGGGCCCAGGAAAAAATGGGGGGCGTTGATGTGGATTAGGGGGGCGCTGTAAAATTTATAATTTCATTTACTTAATTTACCCATTACCGTCCAATATCAAATAGTATAGTAAGCCTAAACAGCTCACTTATTGTAAACATTGTTTACTATTTTATTTCTATATAATAATAGGTTAGGGAAAAAGCTTCTTCGCATTTTTTAAGAACATTCACAACATTTTTAATATAGTTTCTTCGCATTTAAGTAAAGTATGTCGGTACCATTTTGTTCGATAACTTTTTGCCATCTTGTAGGTAGGGACATGATCCCATTGCTAAGAAAATTTGGGGCTTCTGATCAAAATACCGCGACAATTGGTTTTGGCAGTCCTCTCGTGATGTTAAGCTGACACTGCCTAAATCTGAAGAGACCGAAACAGGTAGAAATCTGAAGGTGCAAGGTAACACCTCCCAGCCAAGCTCTCTTAATTTTTGCTGAGTGGCTAAAGATGCGTGAGGTCTAGCGTTATCGTGATGAAAAACCACANTTTACCATACTGATTCGCCTTCTGAGGTCCTTTTCGGAGGATCCATTACTAGCTATGACGGAGCCCAGATAAATGAAATCCTCTACGACTTCCAGGTTTAGCTTATTCGTACTTTAATAAGTTATTATTGTTAGTAGTATTATTTACTAGTCGAAATATAAATTTTTAATTATCTTATGATGAGAATCTTATATTAATGGGAAAGATATTCAACAAAAATAGTTTCGTTCTAATAAATTAGCATAGTAATAGTACAGTGAACTAGCAATTTATTTTGGTAATTCTGAATTTAAACAAACATATTGATGAGAAGAATTCATTTTTACTTTGCAAATTTGTAAATACAGGCTCTGTAGCAATGTACGGACATATAATAATATGAAGAAACAATAGCATCTACAAATATATATGTACTACGTGGTACTACATTTACTAAAATTAATACAACATTTATTAACTAAATTAATGAAATTGTGGTTTTAAAGTTTTAGGGGTGTATAAAAAATGGGGGGCGCTGAAAAATAATTGATTTTCAAAGGGGGCGGTAAAAGAAATAAGTTTGATAATCACTGCTCTAGACCATCAGCTTAGGTAGAAAAAACAAAAAAGCGGCATTTACGCTGATTTATGGAATTTCGTTGTCCACGATCACTAAAACTGTAGTATTTATTATGAAATGAGAATAATAACGTAATTAGTAAACGAAATAGGCGTTTCTACTATCTAAATATAATTTTACCTTAACCTTATATACCTACCTAAAGGTATAAGAATCTAACTTAAAACTTAATACTTCAAGTACTACCCAATAAACTGTTTGCGCAAAAACAGTTTCTTTCTAATAATAGTAGAAATTATGAGCATAGTCAAAGGAAATAATCATATTGCAGATGGAGGATTGGACAGCAGAGATAAATTCGAAACAAGCTCTGCTGATCGTTCTTTTGGTAAACAAAAAAGAAACCCCTAATCTTATGCGATTTAAAAATATAGTTCTTCAAGGAATTGCAATGAACAGAATAGCCCTTGCTTGCGAACTTGACATGGAGATTGAGGTTATAGAAAGAGAAAACATTGAATTTTCACAGGTTAGCATTTAGACACGCAGGTATATAAATTTATTTTGCGAGCGCGCCACGAGCTGACCAAATTTTTCTGGCTTTTTTTTGTTAGTCCGTAACAAGCCCTTCTTGATGACAGATATACTTACAATCCAGGCGTAGCGATGTTAACTCGCGCCCGAGGCACAATACTTTTGAGCGTCCCTAGATTTATTATTGGCAGAGTGGTGCTACCTACCCGTGCAACTCATTAAAGGTCCTACCACCAGTAATGCGAATTATGTGTATGTTTTGCATACGTTACGTTAAGATAAGAAATGGATGGTATTGATGGTGAATGAAAATCATAAAATAAATCCTTCGGTATTTTTTATGTAATAAAATTACGGTATTTATACGGTAGCAAATGTATTTACCATTAATTTATTCAACACCAAAGCGATTCAAATCGCTACCAAAAGCTAGTTAATAAATAAAATACTAACTCGTCAGTAGATTGCTTTCAGTTGTCGCTTATTAAATTTATTTTTAATTATTTTAGTATGAAGGTATATCTTACATACCGGCATCAATTCAAAATCGCGACAGACTTTTCGAAGAACTACACTGGATCGCGAAGACGACTGTAAGATTATTATTTTTCAGCCAAATTAGACGATAGACCTACGACTTGATCAAAAGTAGTTAATCATCCGTGGTACTACAACCAACTCGATATCAATAGCGTTGTATTATTCTTTATCTTGAAATTCTGATTACTTTGGTTAAATAACCCTATGTATCAATGGGAAACTGAAATTTATTTTTCTGTTTTGCAGGCGGCAGATTACCAGAGACCTTTTGATGCTAGCGCAGAGAAACTATTGAGGTCTTTATTGGAAAAGAGAAAAAAACTGAATCCGTCGTACTTGCGGGTGATGGCGCGATATGTAGGCTTAGGCTTATTAAAGTTGCCTAATCTCTAGCTGTTATTTGTGTATGTGTAAAATGTAAATTAATGTTTTTGTTTTGTAGGCACTTATTTATTATAAACTGTTTTATATATAGTCAGTCTTGTTTTCTTATTGATACACAATAATGAGTTATTAAGACGTACCAGACGGGATAACGTCGAAGCCGGTAACTCGCCTAATACCAGGTGGATCATGAACTCGTTCACATATTGAGATTAATAAAAATGTAGGTATGTATTCACATATTGTATTTTCCCCCTCGATGCCAGAAATGCATGATTGCAGCAGGAAAAAAACCGTATCAGAGAAAATTAAGGTCGGCTATGGTCCCATAATTGAATCAGATCTACTTAAAAAAGATAATGTATAACTATATGTACATTATAATCACCTAAGCGTATTTCGTTTCGAAATGATTCTTATCCACCTGATGGTTGTCTGGAAGAGATCGCTCTTAACGATAAGACCGCCTATTGTACTTTTTTGTATTTAATGTATCGCACTGTTTGTTTTTTGGTGTATAATAAATGATATTAAAGAATACTCTCTCTCTAAGCTCGAGAAATGTTAGCCTCATTGATATGAAAATTTGCAGCAGGCGACATGACCCTTCATGATCATAGTTGTTTATATTAATGCCGACTAGTTGGCACTGCTAGCAGTGATTATCTCCTAAACCATTTGTCGAATATAAATCTATTTTATTACATATTGTATAAAAGTGTGTGTGCAATTAGTTTCACCTATAATTATCTAACGTTAGACACGTTAACTTTCTGAATCGTTTTACGGCTTTTATTTTTTCGTTTCGTTGAGGGCAAAGGTGCGGGTAGTGTATTAAATGAAATACATGTAACGTTTTAATTTTTTATTTAAAATACAGTAGATCACTTTTGCGGAGCACTCTGGCTAGAGCTCTTGGAATCACGCATTGAAGCTGAGCGCCTGCGTTTGATCTCTTCCTGGCGACGCACCTATGAAGAAACAATTACCATGAGCAAGAGTATTTTTATTTATAATCAGGTTTTATCCACTAGTTAAACATATTTTAATCTGTGCCTGCATTAATACCTTGATTTGAATAAAACAAATCAAGGGGTAAAATACAGCATTTCAATTTTACAGCTCAGTATGATTTCCGTAAATTATTACGGCTGCATGATACCAGCTGTGGGGTTACGTATGTATTCAATAATGCAATGACTAGAGCCAGCTGGAGTACAAATATTTCCAAGTGAAGTAATTAAATGACAAATATATAATTGAATATTTGAAACACATCAATCCGTAAGTTACATCAATTTTTGTTAAAGTAATGTTATCTAAATATGGTGGTGGGCAGTTTTAGTGTACCACAGACCACTTCTGTACAAGAGTAGTGGTTGTTTAAAGCTTCGTTTAATATTCTAGGTTCATACATGTACCTCATAGCAGGTAAATGGAACTATGCATAGTGAAACAATCAATATAGGGAATGAAAATTCAGCTATATGAGTGAAATTTAAAAAGAATTTATCTCTCAGCTTTAACCACTAAGTAACAGATATATAACTCTTAAATATCTGGTCAAGTTACAAATTCTTGAGATCAGAGGTACGAATGCATTAGACATTTTTCCACAACCTAAGTTTGTACAGATTCAGATAGTTTTGTTTTTCTTGGGGTGACTTGAGATTTTATGCTGCAATTATTTAAAAATAAATCCTGTCTTAAAAGTGTTCTCATATAACTACAAATTTATATTAGAATACAATCAATAAGCATACAGTTTAAGCCATAAATAATATAATCTCTTTTTCATTCGTCTTGTAAACTTTTCCCACCAGTTTATTGAAAAGAGCAGTATGAAATACTTTTTTTATTCTCACTACAGGATTTCATTCAACATTACATACCTTGGATTCCTTCTTTCTCTGTGCAAGCAATTTAGCATATTCAGCCTCAGAGGACTTGCGCTTAGCGAGACGCTTCTTCTTCAGAGCGAGACGGTGACGTCTGCGCTGCAGAACTACAGGGGTGACTAGCCTCTGGATCTTAGGTGCCTGATGAACAAGAGTCATGAACATTACATTAGATAAATGAAAATAAAATTATTTTCAATCTGCAGACTATATTGTATAACATAAATGTTAAAAATGTTATGCACTCTGTAAAAGTAGACAGACAATTTTATCTGAATCTTCTGCTCGGTCCCTATTTATATTCCCTGATGCTGCTGTTTTCAAATATTTATTTATTTAAAAACAATATTGAAATCAGGGTTCTGTAGAGTACTAATAATTTTGTGTGAGGTTTGTCAAAAATAATAATTAATTTCCTTATTTGGTTAAGATTTAGCCTCTTCAATATCAAAAAAAGGAATAATAGACTTCCTGATCCTATATGCTTCATAGCTTACTAAACTAAGCACATTTTCTAAGCTAAGTCAAGCTCAGCTCAACCTCTGTAACTTGGTTAAGGTCTGATTTTGTGCAGTGGTGTAGCTTTACTGAATTACATTGTTTTTAATTACCTGCACTACTGCTTGTATTAATATTAACAATATATTCATCAAATATTTGACATTGTTCCTGTGTGCAATAGTTACATTAAGCAACCTACATAGTGTTTTGACATAATACATAAACTACATTATGAGAGAAATTTGGGAGGTAAAGAAAACTTGAAATCTGGTTGATATACCTTATGTCTGGGTTTAGCATTTTCTTTTCCTTCCTTAGCTGGGAGCACGCGTTTGACGACATAACGACGTACATCATCTTCTTTGCTAAGGTTGAACAGCTTACGGATTTTGGAAGCACGTTTGGGACCTAGACGGCGGGGTACATTTCCATCAGTCAATCCAGGAATTTCCTGAAAAATGCAAATATTGTTTCCAGCAATTCATTTATATAATGATACTTTCAAATTGTATTAGCAACCTGTGATGTGGTTTGTTTTTTAATGAAAAACAAAAACTATGGCTTTCCGTTTACGGCTTATGGTCATGAAACTACAGGCATGAGATTTAATGAATTAATCAGGTACATATCCACTCTACTACCTAAATACTAATACCTACTACCTCTACTACCTAAATATTAACCACTTTATTATTTTTGAACTTGAATACTCTTTCAGAAAAAAAAGTTCATTTCCATATTTGCAGTATAAAGAAAACATCTCTATTTAGACAAATGTATGGTTCTCAGGATATCGCCATTTACATAATGTTAATGCCTGGAATCCCAACAACCAATTTCACAATATACCCTGGCGCATATAATTACACAGATTTGATGATCTGGGAAACAGTAAGAACAGGGATACAAGTATTGATGTGAACACTGACTGCCTGCATATTTACTATGAATAGATTTCATTCAAACCCTATCCATCAAATATAATTATTATAATCCACGAAACACAACATTTGTAACATTCAATAATCAGAATCTTTGTTTCGTTAAAACCAAATATAATACAATCGTTACATTTACTTGATTTTAACTTTAGTATTCAAATTAACAAAACAAATGTGCCAAATTAAATTAACATATATGCAGCAGTTATTAACCATATGCACTTTGATTTCAAGTTGTATATCTAATATGTAGATACTTAATCTAGAAATTTATTATTAATGTTGGGATTAACTTACCTGGGCACCCTTGCGCACAATAACAAGAGCCAAGACCGAGAGATTGGCATCAACAATACATCCACGAACTGATTTACGTTTTCTCTCTCCATCGCGGCGCGGTCTGTAACATGAGTGGCCCTTTGACATCAGAAGACGAACACGGCCTGAAAGTAACATGGCATTCATGAGTGCTTTTGAACTGTACCTATAAATTTTAACAAGAGCAATTAAGAGATTGCTTCCTTAATATCTCATGAATGTATGAACGAAACCTTAACCGTAGTCAATACCTTTATTCTGAACGAAATTCAGTAGGCAGGAACAGCACATTTTACAAAACATTTTTTTTTATTGCCCTTGTAGACAGACGAGCGTACGACCAACCTGATGGTGAGTGGTTACCGTCGCCTATGGACTTCAACAATGCCAGGGGCAGAGCCAAGCCACAAGTTTTTAATACAAAAAAAAAAACAAAAAATTTCTCCATTGATCATTAAACTTTCTACAATCAAGTCTAAATTCAGGGTGGACTTCACTCACTGTTTGTCAGGACGCCCTGTTTCATCGGGAATCCTTGCTTGTCGTTGCCGCCAGCGACACGAAGTACATAGCCCTTCCATTCATCGCCTAACTGATCAGCCTCTACTTCGGCGCCCATGCGCTTTTCGTAAAAGATACGAAGCTTGTGCTCGTCCACCACTTCGAATAACTTCTGGCATCCCGTTGCCGGGTACGAAACGTTTAACTACAAAATACAAGAGGTTATAAACATTCCGCACTTCGTTACACAAAACAAATTTCAGTTGTTTAGCCATAAAGAAATGATCTAATCGTGGAATTTTATTCAGAAGACACAATAGTTAAGTCTCATTTCACAATAAAAATTTAACACGGCATGAGTATTAACTCCAAAAGACTCAATTTCATCTAAATTCTTCACTACAATCAACAAATGAAATATCATTGTTTTTATATAATATGTTGGTAAATTTAATTAAATACACTCTTAACGCTTTATTTCTCGTTAAAACTTAGGTAAAAATACGAAAAACTTTTATAGAACCTTCATGACTGCGGTCAATCCCGTCGAACGTCAGCCATGAAAAAGAACAAATGTGTCAGTGTTGCCAATTGCCAAACGATTGCCGCTTTAGAAAACTGAGAAAATAATAAAATCAACCCTTTTCGACTAACAATCATTTATTGATTTAAGAAACCCCCAAATAGTTATTGAAAATCGCTAGATTTTTATTTTAAGAAAGCTATAAATTAATATTTAGTCGCTACAAATAATAATCAATGCGTATTTCTCGATTACTGGAGCTCTTACTCTATGTAATCATTTCTTAAGAATTGATTTATTACATTAAACAAAACCTTTTATATACAGGATGTACTTTCAAAATGATTTTTTTCAAACTAATTTTACATTAAATCGCAAATGTAATTAAGTATGTAATTGACCCAAGTTGAGTTTTCTTCAAATCACTGAAACATTTCACTTAGAAAATACTTTTTTCTGATTCCAAAAATAAACAAGGTAAAATAACGTACTTATACCTTAATCTCAAACACCAGAGCCCTAAAAAAGATGCGGAATACGACTTGGAATCGAACCCGGACGCGGTGGAGCAGTGGTCATGGTGACCAGCTACTCAATCAACTAGACGTCGTCGTGTCCTAAAGGATAAGACGTCCGGTGCATTCGTATGTAGCGATGCACCGGTGTTCGAATCCCGCAGGCGAGTACCAATTTTTCTGATGAAATACGTACTTAACAAATGTTCACGATTGATTTCCACGGTGAAGGAATAACATCGTAAAAATTTATGAAAAAATAACAGATTTATGCTAAAAAACATATTTATTTTCAATTGAGGAGGGGTTTTCTCCCACTTTTTCATTTTATGAGGACGCCTAAATACTTCCAATCATTATGAAGTTTGTTTAACCACGATAGATCATTTAGTCTAAAAGTTACACCGTTTTGTTTACACCGGAGTCACAGTAATGAACAAAAAAATTAAAAACTTCATAAAAAAAAAAAAAAAGTATTTTTTTAATATTTTTCCCTCGATAAAGCGTAGATTCCCTCATTTCGATATGTGCACATTATAAGAAATCATACTGTATACGCTGTGACATCGGCCTTGTTTGATTTTATGTGAAAATATTATAGTTTATGGTGTGATACCTTCGCCTTTTCTGTTGAAAAAATGGAACTAATTACTCAGCTGTGAGTGCTATGAGCTATGACACAAAGTGATAAACAATGATAATACATTCACCTTAGCGATTGGCATAAAATTAATTTCAAAAAGAAACTAAAACGATATAAAACATTGTAGGAGCACTGAGTAAAAAAATATATCAAAAACTCAATTTTATTGTGTTGAAAATATGTTGGAAGCACAAAACCAAACAGAAATAATACAGTATGTGCCGTTTTCGTCTTTCGTTCATCCATCATTCTGGCATACCCTCACTGAAATGAAATTAGAAGTAGACAAATTAAAGGAAACTACCAAACAAATATTCGGCAGATTTACATACCGCTGTGATATTGGCTCTGTATTTGAAGTGGATGGTACCTCATTCAATAAGTAAGTGCGATTTTTAACTTAAAAATTGTATTTCAAAATAATTTACCAGTTAAATTGTGTGAGAGAAACAATTAGAGACTTTTTTCGGGATACGTGAAAGATGAGGTCTTCATCATTATTGGTCATAAAAAGAATATGGTCCTGCTAGCGTAGCTGTGGTGACCAATTGGCTGATATTAATTTCCAGTATCATTGGCACACCCTCTATACAAAAAAATAACATTGATTATTTTGCCTAAAAGTACTTTTCTTACATATCAAACTGAAAGCCCTTATTGGAAGACCTTATATTAAACACTTCCTGTTATTTTGTACATTTTTGCTGTTGTTTTTTGTATTTGTGTAGATGTAGACTGCCTAATGGTAAATTATTATTATATTATTAGTAAGGACTAGGTAAGTAAGAAAACTCTTTAAGTGAGAGTAATTGCCTGGTCCCCCCTTTCACCTGGACCCACAGAGAGATGTAGATTCCCATGTATTTACTGCATGCACTCTATAAAATACTGCTGCTTATCTACAAGCAACTATAAATACAAGAAGAAGATAGGAAAAGGGGAGCTGAGCAGGGTGTAAAATTCATAATTCTCCAACCTATTTCTGCTGTGAAACAGTAATACGTTTCAGTTTGTACTGTAAAAACTGAGGTCTATGAACTCGTATCTCAAGGTAGGTGGTGGCAGTTATGTTGTAAATATCAATGGGCTCCGGTAACAAAATTAAATGATGGATATCATGTTATTTATGATTACTTACTTACCTCAGATTATTGAGTAACCAAAACATTTCAACATTAAACATGTCCAATCATATGCAACTCTTTTCAGGACACCTCATTTAGAGCAACAATATCATCATGTGATGGGTACAATAATGAACAAAAATACTATTGAAGACTTCAAATCTATAGATAAGGCTTCATTACTAAATTCAATAGGCGAAATGATATGGTCCAACCTCAGGGAGAGAACTTGGATCACAAATCCTAGTGCTTTGTTGAATTTCTTCATACTCTCATTTGCTGTAAGTATTAATAAGGATAGTGTAAGTAAGGAGAAAACATGTTGCGTTGACCCCAGTTCACTAAGAGAAGGGCAGGAGAATGATAATTAATAATAATATGTATTTATTCATAAAGCATACTCAACACTAAGATAGCAGTTTATGCAAATGCTTATGCACCACAGACATTGCAAAAGTTAAAAATTGTTTTAATTTAAATTTCAGGATCTCAAAAAATTTCATTATTACTACTGGTTTGCATTTCCTGCACCCAGCCAACCCACCGTTCACATGAAAGGAAGAAGCACGAAAATCTCAGATTACTTCAATAACAAACAATTAGAAACTCTATCTCAATGTTACAAATCACTTGAAGAAAACCAAAAGAACTTTTTTGTTGTAATCAAGAAAAATGATGATCTCTCAGTTAAGAAATTATCAGAAGTTTTTGATGTTAATAGTGCTAACTGCATTGACCTAGATCTCGTCAGTACATACTTTGTTTTTGCTGATCCAAGTAATGGATGCAACCCTGGTTGGCCACTAAGAACATTCTTAGCTGCACTGTTGGAATATTGTCCTGATTTGGCAAAGTCAACTTTACAAGTTATAGGGTTGAGGAGTTCAATGAATGGTGATTTCATAAAAAGCCTAGTTTTCTCCATTGAAATTCCACAGGTCAGTTGGTGATGCAAACTTTGTTTTATATTAATTCTGATTTTGTTTCTGAGAATTGTGTCTGAGATATATAACTGGCTGGAAAATAATAATTAGCCACCTAAGTGGCTGATGTGACTCACACAAGAAAATAATTTGTTGATTACCTTCAATGGCATTTCATGGAATTTGGTGCGTCATTGTAAAGGGTACCTGCCACAGACATCTGCCTACCTCTGAAAACTACTCTAACCAAATTTAAAGGCCGAGGCAAGTTCACTCAGCTGATATTACGTGTAAAATGACTCCTAACGCAACAGTTAAGCTTCTCTAGATTTAAGCTCTACTTCGGTGGAGGGAGTGGGGTGGTGCGAAAACTGATTTTCAGTTATATGCAGTGATAATTTCCTAGATTTTCATTTATTTTTTAGGACATCAAGCCAGTTGAGAGTGCTGGTTGGGTAGGATGGGAAAGAAACGATAAAGGCAATTTTGGACCCAGGCTCGCTAATATGTCTACCTCGATGGATCCTGTCATGTGAGCTATTGCAGAATTCGTGTTAAAATTTAATTCAATTCATTCACTAATCATTCGATTTTCAGAGATCGAATTTCTTTAGATTCTAAAAAAAAGCAACCAACATTAAAAAAATGTCAACTTTACTTTTATTTTAATTTCAACTCGAAAGTACATACAGTTTTAAATGCATTATGATTAACCAGTATGGTAAGGGAACGTACCCATACTACGTGACCATTTTTTTTTGTTTTTTCGACCTCTCCCTCCCCTCGGTGATCACTCGTAGTATATGCCAAGACCCCCTTCTCCCCCTTTAGTTTTCACGTAGTAATGCATAATTATGATGTTTCATCATTTCACACGCAAAAATAAAAAAAATAAAAAAATTTGGTTCATACTCGTCTTTATTGCATAAGACTGCATACACACTTAAATTACTAGTGAATTATGTAGTGAGAGTTTACAAAGCGCGAGATTTCTCTTACTAAAATCGACTACGTGACAAAAACCTGAGCCACCCCCCCGCTCCTGTGAATGACCGTAGTATTTTAAAGACTCCCCCCCCCCAAACGGGTCACGTAGTATGGGTACGTTCTTTAACAGTTTTTATTATGACGCTAATATTATCCTAAGAAAATATTGTAAATTTCAGATTGGCAGATACGTCATCAGATCTGAATATAAAGTTGATGAAATGGCGTCTAGTACCTGATCTGAATGTAGGTGTGATGAAAGATACGAAATGTTTGTTATTGGGAGCCGGCACACTTGGTTGTCATGTGGCGAGAAATTTATTAGTAAGTTATAATATTTATAAATGATTGTTTTGTACCTATGTGAATTAATACTACATCAGATTTGGTGTGTGAGTTTCTCAAATATGTGTACTTGTTTAAGCTGACTCTTGATAGAAAAAAATCAGTGAAATTATAACTTAAAACATAAATTCATATAAAAGCGGTTATTGCAAAAGTAAATCTGACCTTATACTAGTTATGTGTGCTTAGTGAGAGTTTTTTAACGTTCTCGATAGCGTAAAAGTTAACTCAAATTTGTATGAAATGGGCCGTTGGGGGCGCTGTTTCAACTGCATACAAAACTCTCACTAAGCACACTGATGTCGGGAAAACAGCATGAATTAATTAGCTTAACTAATCACAGAACAGGTTGATAAGTTTCTTCCAACCATTTGGACTGACAAAGCCTAAATTCAAAACATCCGTGAAAACTTCAATTGCAGGCCTGGGGTTTCCGTCATATAACATTCGTTGACAACGGTAAAGTGTCATACTCGAATCCGACCAGACAAGTTCTGTTCAACTATCAAGATTGTCTCGGGGGAGGCCGAAGGAAAGCCGAAGCGGCCGCTGATAACTTGAAGTCAATCCTCCCGACTACTGTAAGTTTCTTCAAGAGCTATTGGACCGCGGCAGACGGCTTTGAAGTCGTCGTGGCCTAAAGGATAAGATGTCCGGTGCATTCGTATGTAGCGATGCACCGGTGTTCGAATCCCGCTGGCGGGTACCAATTTTTCTAATGGAATACGTACTTGACAAATGTTCACGATTGACTTCCACGGTGAAGGAATAACATCGTGTAATAAAAATCAAACCCGCAAAATTATAATTTGCGTAATTACTGGTGGTAGGACCTCTTGTGAGTCCGCACGGGTAGGTACCACCACCGCGCCGATTTCTGACGTGAAGCAGTAATGCGTTTCGGTTTGAAGGGCGGGGCAGCCGTTGTAACTATACTGAGACCTTGCAACTTATATCTTAAGGTGGATGGCGCATTTACGTTGTAGATGTCAATGGGCTCCAGTAGCCACTTCACATCAGGTGGGCTGTGAGCTCGTCCACCCATCTAAGCAATAAAAATAAACAAATAAACCAACCTACTGAAACTACAAAAATTTACAATCCGAGTCATTTAGATTTCATAGTGATTTAGGCACTAATGATCTATCTGTTAAAAAAAACCCTCTGAATAAGATTTTGGTTCAAACCCGAGATCTGAGAAAGCTGTCATGCGTTCCGATTGAAGGTCTTTATCAAAGACATTTGTGTCTCAAAGTTGGCGGCATACGCGTTGTCGCGTCTTTTAAGTTCCAAGAAAAACAATAACCAATATAATATATAACAGCTAATCTATAGAAATCACATAACTGCTCTATTGACAGTTGCTTTTAATAATTAGAATAGCAAAGGTATAGTAGCGCACATACCGATGCCAGGACATCCTATTGGGGATTCATTGAAAGAGGAGACCATTGGTGATATTAAAAGGATAACCGAGGCTATCTCTGAACATGACGTCGTGTTCCTTCTTCTGGACACGAGGGAGGCTAGATGGCTGCCAACACTTATTGCAGCACAACATCGGAAGGTAAGATTTCTTTTATTTAATTCTGGTAAATCTCTTGACAAAAAAGAGTTTGGGGTGTGAGCTTCTTCTTCTCAGTCGGACACTCTTGTCAGAGTGGTTGTGGTTGCGTTGACGCTGTATGTGCAGTAGGACCTGTTAGGTCGCCCATGCTCCCGCCAACCGCCCTCCAGGCAATGCGCTTCTAGGTCTGGCGGTTCGAAGCGTTACGAGTACATTCGACCATAGTGGACTCAGTTGCCTTCTTTATTAGGTCAGTCCAGCGGGTCGGTGAGCGGCCGCGTGATCTTCTGCCTTCCACCCGGCCCAGGACTACCAGTCTCTCCATCGAGTGCTCTTTTCTCGAGATGTGATCAAAGAATTTTAAAACCCTCAGTTGCACTGTTGACGGGTGTGAGCTACTTCAACTTTAATAATAAATTATACACAATTTTTTTTTTCCTACCTATGCTGATAGCGTTGAGATATCAGCGTTACCCTAGCGCGTAGGTGAGCTCTCGGGGCTCAAACCGCAGTTATTGCTAACACTGGCTCTAGCAAGAGCAGTGCTTCGCAGAATCTACCACCGGATCGGAAATGCGACCCACTGAGAAGATCCGGCGAGAAACTCGGTTTTTATTTTATTTTTATTGGTTAGATGGGGGAACGAGCTCACAGCCCATCTGGTTTCACGAATAATTTGTAGATATACATTTGAAATTGAAAAATAAATTAAGCTAAGGCGTCGGATATATCCGTCTAATGTTAATAACTTCACTATCACAAGATATTGCTCTGTCCAATTGCATTTAAAGAAACTATGGAGGTTGGATAATTCTGTATAGCAAGTTGTGCAATTTCAAAGATAGAACCAAAAGTTAAATTAACTTTTTCAAGTCAACCCACTTCACACCGTTTACAACAACTACATTCATACCATTTGCTACGCTACCACTATTTTGGTGGATTTTGAGTGGTAATTTGTTGCGTACCGCTGGACACTTTGAACTTGTTCCCCATAAATTAAGTCGTCGTGGCCTAAAGGATAAGACGTCCGGTGCATTAGTATATAGCGATGCACCGGTGTTCGAATCCCGCAGGCGGGTACCAATTTTTCTAATGAAATACGTACTCAACGAATGTTCTGTATTGATTTCCACGGTGAAGGAGTAACATCGTGTAGTAAAAATCAAACCCGCAAAATTGTAATTTGCGTAATTACTGGTGGTAGGACCTCTTATGAGTCTGCACGGGTAGGTACCACCACCCTGCCTATTTCTGCCGTGAAGCAGTAATGCGTTTCGGTTTGAAGCGCGGGGCAGCCGTTGTAACTATACTGAGACCCTAGAACCCATATCTCAAGGTGGGTGGCGGCATTTACGTTGTAGATGTCTATGTGCTCCGGTAACCTCTTATCACCAGGTGGGCCATGAGCTCGTCCACCCATCTATGCAATAAAAATAAGAAATAAAAAATACATGACAACTCTTCGTACCTCTACCCTCCATAAAATAAACCAATGTCACAATTAGAGATGATCGTCTCAAGCATCAGAAAATTCGCACGTTTGGCGGGTAAATTAAAATCTTCCAAAATATAATTTACTAAAAACTAGAGAATTTTTTCGTGCCAGTATCTTGTTTTCCCATAACTATTATCGATCAGGACTTTTTGCCCTTTCCAGATCGTCATAAATGCGGCGTTAGGTTTCGACAGTTATCTAGTGATGCGACACGGAATTAGCACCTCGTCGGATGAGGTCGCTACTCTCGATAAACAATACATCGAAGGCCGGTACCTCGGTTGCTATTTCTGTAATGACGTCACCGCACCTGGCAATGTGAGTACACTTGATTCAGGAATGTCGTCGGTACGTGATGGTTGGTTGTTAGGACTTTATTTTGTATTGTGCTAGGATCCACCGCTTCGTCATCGTTGTGTCAAACCAGACGTCCGATTTAAACCTCATAATCGAGAATTAATATTCAATTTCCCACGATTCCAATATCCTCGACATTGGACTTTTTTTTTTAAATCTTTCTATACAAATAAATATAAAAATGTGTTTGTTTAAAACGCTTTAATTAAAAGCAGGCCGTAAATTTTTAAGTACCCACTTTAATCATATTTATTCAAAGCACATTATAATCGTATTAACAAGAAATAATATATTAAAACTTGAAAGCCTAACAGGAAAATGCTGGGTATTTTCATCAAAGATGGTTTGCGTTACATTTCCATCGCCCAAACTCCAATCATTTTCAAAGATTGAAATGGGAAAAAACTTACAGCTTGATAATCAATAACACCAAGAGCATTGTTATTGTCGTGACGATTACTTCGAGGTATATTTATGGCATTATCATCAAATCCTCCGTCCTACCATGAACATCAAATCCGTTTGTTTGCAGTCACTGAGAGATCGCACGTTAGATCAACAGTGCACCGTGACCCGCCCCGGGGTCGCGGCGGTGGCCGGCGCTCTGTCCGTCGAGATACTGGTGGCTTTGTTGCAACATCCGAAAAGGTAACGTGACCTAACTAAGCTCTAGGGAGGACTATCATGCATTAAGGCCGGGCCACACGATGCGGTGCGGCTCCGGCACGACGTGTGAGCGATGTCGCAACGGTTTCCTAAATATAAAAATATATTATTATGGTATTCCACACGGCCTGTCCCGTTCCGCTCCGGTGCCACACCACAGGCGCACCGGACAACGGCGCGGGGAAGACGAGGCGGGGAGGGGTGCAAGCAGTGCGATGCTGCAGAGGCTTCTTGTGTGTGCGCACGGATAGATACAACCACCCTGCCTATTTCTGCCGTGAAGCAGTAATGCGTTTCGGGATGAAGAGTGGGGCAGCCGTTGTAACGATACTGATACCTTAGAACTCTTATGTCAAGGCGGGTGGCGGCATTTACGTTGTGGATGGCTCCAGAGGTGGGCGGTGAGCTCGTCCACCCATCTAAGCAATAAAAAAAAACTGCATAGTTGTTTGTACTGGGACAAGCCAAGCCTACCCTGTTGAGGTGCCGCAGCGGCGCCGGCCCCACGTCGTTGGAACGTTGTGACGCCGCATTGTTCATGTGTCTGTCAGTGCGGTGCCAAGTAATGCGGTGCGGTTCCACCCCGTGTGGCCCGGCCCTTACGATATCTCTAGCTTGGGCAGCGTTCAAAATAAAAATTGAGTGAGACATTGAAATAAATAATACCTAAAGGCTTTGTCAAATGTCATTTTAGTCGTAAAATTTTATTTTAGCGTTCGAGTGAATGTGTATTAAAATACTGGATAATGAATGAATGAATGATGAATGATTAATTTTATTTCAGACAACAATAAGTCCATATGTGTACATAGTATCATTGAAATATACTTAACATTAACAAAACTAATCAATATGCCCGATAATGCCCGAAAATTTTATAGAATTAGTTAGAAAATACACATGCATATACAATGCCACGTCTGAATCACTCGACATCTTAATACTTTTAAATTTTCACATTGCTATCGAGAGGCACTATGATTTGGCGAACGTTACGTTGCGTCAAGGATCGTTGGACTAGTCAATTTGTGTGACATGAAAAGAGCGCGACGTTAAAACGCAGCACTAAGTACGCTTTATGTTTGATGAAGCCTTTATACGGATTGGGAAATAGTAGTAGGAAGAGTTCGAGGATTATTATCAATAAATAAAGACTGTTACTTTAGGATCCCTGAGCGTACGTGCACGTTGCCGTTGACTGGCGGGCGCGGTGGCGGATTTCGAACCATATGGCGTATTATTTAAGAGTTGCCATAAGACGTACGTGCGCTGTGAATAATGAGTGCGCTAACAACTCTCGACACTATCAAATGTGTGAAGTTCTAGAAGTTGTCGGTCTATGTTCAGCTTGGAGTACCGAAGGGCCCGTGTAAATTTAACTAATTAAGAAGCTTTTTTTTTCTTAGATGGGTGGACGGGCTCACAGCTCACCTGGCGTTATGTTGTTACTGGAGCCCATAGACATCTACAACGTAAATGCGCCACCCGCCTTGAGATATAAGTTCTAAGGTCTCAAGTAAAAGTCTCAACGACGGCTGCCCCAGCCTTCAAACCGAAACGCATTACTGCTTCACCCCAGAAATAGGCAGGGTGGTGGTACCTACCTGTTCGGACTCACAAGAGGTCCTACCCACCAGTAATTACGCAAATTATAATTTTGCGGGTTACATTACCGACGCCCGCAAGTCGAACGGGAATCAGTACTAAAATCATTCCGTACCGTTAATTCATTACATGTCGCTTGTGCTTATAGAGTCGATGCCCCGGCCCTGTACAATTTTAATAAGACCGAACAAGAGATTCCGTCGCAAATCGAAGGAGTCTTGGGCGCCGTACCTCATTCAATAAGAGGATTCCTGCATTCGTACCAAACGATCGCACCGACATGCACGAAATTCAAACAGTGCATCGCGTGTTCCGACACTGTGATAAACAAGTACAGAGAGGAAGGATTGGATTTCCTTCTGAACGTATTCAACAGCGGTAGTTATTTAGAAGAAGTAACTGGCTTATCGGCTTTGCATTTGAGCGCTGAAATGAGCGAGGTAAGTTTTTATTATTTTGTTATACGCTGGGGTTCGGGTAAGATAAAATTCTACCGAAGTGTAAAATTAAAACTGTATTTACACTTAGAACACTTAAAACACTTAACGAATACTTTAAAGTTCTCAATTCACTTCTTCCGCTTCGCTTCAGGTGATCCGTTGACTGTATCTCTTTTGAAGTCAATACGACATCCCTAGATTTATCGAGAACATTCTGGGCAAGTCGAGCTTCGATGTGTTTCCACTATCTTACAATAGATGGCGTTGTACTTCTCGAGCGTTTTCGAAGTTACTAGTTCTTTTGATATTCGCTCGGCTATTCGGCGATAGACGGCGTTACTCTTACCGGCGTAACAATATATTTAAACAAGACGAATAAAGTAGGATTTCGACATGCAACCTAGCCCATAGACACAGCCCACTGAATTTCTCGCCGGATCTTTTCAGTGAGTCGCGATTCCGATCCGGTGGTAGATTCAGCGAAGCACTGCTCTTGCAACATTAGCAGTTCTCTCAGGTTGAACCCGTAAAGTCACCTACCAGTCCGAGCGTAGCTGGAATAGTCCCTTAGGCCACCAGCTCTTACAGCCTGGCCACGGGACATTCGCCGATGCGAATATTCGCGCGGTGCGAACGGCGAAGCGTCTAGCGACTAAAATAAGCGCATAGAAATGTACCTAACAAGCCACGCGCACCGGCGACCGGCGAAGCGACCGGCGAAATGTACCGAGCGAATCGCGCGATGCGGCGGGCGAGCAAAACAAATGCATGAATACGGACGGCGCGAGCCACGGAGTCGAGCGGTAGTCGCGGCGAATAGTGCAGTGATTAAATGAGTTTAGTTGTTTTCGCCGCGAAAAATTAACGCCGAAATTTTTATATTTTTTATTTATTTTTTATTTTATATTTTTAAAGTCGTCGTGGCCTAACGGACGTCCGGTGCAATCGTGTTGAGCGATGCACCGGTGTTCGAATATCAGGCGGGTACCAATTTTTGTAATGAAATACGTACTCAACAACACTCAACGTTCACGATTGATTTCCACGGTGAAGGAATAACATCGTGTGATAAAAATGAAATCTTCAAAATAATAATTTGCGTAATTACTGGTGGTAGGACCTCTTGTGAGTCTACACGGGTGGGTACTACCACCCTGCCTATTTCTGCCGTGAAGTAGTAATGCGTTTCGGTTTGAAGGGTGAGGCAGCCATTATAACTATACTTGAGACCTTAGAACTTATATCTCAAGGTGGGTGGCGCATTTACGTTGTGGATGTCTATGGGCTCCAGTAACCACTTAACACAAGGTGGGCTGTGAGCTCGTCCACCCATCTAAGCAATAAAAAAATAAAATAGCTGAAATACTAGCTAGACCAGCTATTTGGAAGTCTAGCCACCCAAAGTATTTCTCGTACTTCTTGTGGAATTCTCCATCTATAGGTATACTCCGATTCTTATTCAAATCATGTACTTCACAATCTTTTCCAATAATAGGTCCTGAACCAAAAAAACTATTAATTTGTAAGCAATATCGAGATAATTTCGATATAGACATTTCGCTGTCGGACTTCCTTACTAGTCGCGGCGGCGAACGTGAGTACCCGTGGCCTGCAAACGGTGCTGCGCGAATGGTCGCCTCGCCCACCGCTTCGCTGTTCGCACCGCCGATCCCCGTGGCCAGGCCGTTAGATAGGAAAAAAGATATATGTGGGATTACAGTAAAGTACGCCTCAATCGATTCTAAAACGGTTTTTGCAGTTCTTTATTGATTGTTTAAACTAGGATATTTATTAGACACTACACGAAAACCTTGAAGCTAATATTTAAAAAAAAATTGTAAACTACTTATATTACCTATAATAAAATAGAAATTCCAGACAATTTATCGATTTATCTTTTTTCAGATATTGACATTAACCGATGAAGAAGATTAGAATGTTTTTAAATGAGGCTTTTATCATCATGTATTTAATGCATTTATTTATTAAGCTGTAAGTTATAGGGTTGCGAACGTTCTTATGTTATAAAGCTTTAGTGCTTGTGATATTTTATTGTCCTCAGTATGTTATTAAAAAAAATAAAAAGACATAGGTGTTTTATTCTGGAAATGCTAAAGCCAAATTTTCGTTTTGGTGACGTCACAGTTCTGTAGATATGACTGTACTTATAACATTCCCATCGAAAACTATGAAGAACTATAATAATACATTTAGAGCCAAAACTGGTCATAGGTAGTAATTGGAATTGATAATATCTGACTGTGAATATAAGAAACCAAGCCAAGAAGAACAAGCTTTTTTCTTTATTGCTTAGATGGGTGGACGAGCTCACAGCCCACCTGGTGTTAAGTGGTTACTGGAGCCCATAGACATCTACAACGTAAATGCGCCACCCACCTTGAGATATAAGTTCTATGGTCTCAGTATAGTTACAACGGCTGCCCCACCCTTCAAACCGAAACGCATTACTGCTTCACGGCAGAGATAGGCAGGGCGGTGGTACCTACCTGCACGGACTCACAAGTGGTCCTATCACCAGTAATTACGCAAATTACAATTTTGCGGGTTTGATTTTTATTACACGATGTTATTCCTTCACCGTGGAAGTCAATCGTGAACATTTGTTGAGTACGTATTTCATTAGAAAATTGGTACCCGCCTGAGATTCGAACACCGGTGCATCGCTCAACACGAATGCGCCGGACGTCTTATCCTTTAGACCACGACAGCTCACAGCTCACATGCTGTTAAATTACCGAAAACCCTTTTTTTATGAATGAGGGATTACTGATGGATCAGAGGCCGTTCCAGTTTCACCAGGACAGGACCGAAACCCGTCGACATGAGCTCCCGGTTTCGTGGTGCGACGATCTTCGAAGAGTGTCTGCAAGAAATTGATGGGGAAAGCCGAAGACTAGACTCAGGGCTGTGGATTGGGAAAGATCTATGTTCGACAGTGGACGATTGTGAGCTAATGACGATGATGATGATAGACATCAGAAAGTGAGTTACGTCATCCGGCTTGAAACTAGAAATCTTTCTCTCGATTGTATAGTAATTACACAAATTAACACTTATAAAATTTCTTAAAATAAATAGGGGCTTATGATGTGACAACGTGTATATTGACACGTCTACTTTAAGATATGAGTTTGAACCCCGTTCTTCCACCAGAATATCGCCAATTTTTATTAAACACGAAAGAACGTGCTAACTGCCTGCAGGATTCGGACATCGGCACAGTCGCGTCGTTCAATACGAATACACTGGACGTCTTATCCGTCAGGCCACGACAACTTCGTTCATTTATATGAGTGGTTCCCAAACTTATTTTGTCTACTGCCCACTTTGCGAATAAATTATTTTTTATAGCCCCGATTTTGTCTACCTACTTATTAACCAATATAGTGAGAGCTCAGTCACTGTCTAAGAGTGCTTCTAGATTAAATTACAAATCGCCTCCGAAGCCTCTACACAACGCCCCCTTTTTTTTCTCGGTCTCTTACCGCCCACCATTAGGCCTGCAGCGGCCACAAGAGGCGTTATCGCCCACTTTGGGAAAGGCTGATTTATATCAATAAAAAACAAGTATAATTACAACAACAATTTACTAAAATTATGGGGTCATATTTAGTATTATGGGCGGCAATTTGGTGCTCGTCGGATTGCAGATTTGTTTGACAGGTTTTGGGGGTTTGATCTTTCTTCCGTGACGACCAGACTTCCGCTGCCACAGACCTGAGCGAGGCCGGTTCCCGAGCCACCTGTTCCGCTGAGGGGACCCTATGGGTGTGCTGCCATGAAGAACGTTGGACAGACGACCTGCGAATGATAATGGGTGGCCCATAAGTCCTTTGATATGAAAAAAAATTTATTAAAATAAAACTAATTACATTATGAATTAAATTTTTATTTACATAAAAATCTTAAAAAACGGGAATTATTTTTTGAAAATAACATCTCCTAAATGTAATCCGTTGCGATCACGGCACTCTTGCAAACGACGTCTAAAATTGTCGATGACTGCGCGGCACGTCACTGCTGAAATGCTTGTCATTTCTCTGCGGATGTTTTCTTTTAGGGCCTCAATTGACCGCGGGTTTGTGTCGTATACTTTAGCCTTAAGGTAGCCCCACAAAAAAAAATCCATCGGGGTCAGATCTGGACTACGTGGAGGCCAGGAAATGTCTCCTCTCTTAGAGATAACTTTGCCAGGAAAAAGTTGACGGATAACGGGCATAGCAGTGTTAGAGGTGTGAGAAGTGGCCCCATCCTGTTGAAACCACGTCCTGGCATTAAAGCCTGAAAAGTTTTGCAATTCTGGTATGAAAAACTCTTCGATCATAGCCACATATCGCTCCGACGTAACAGTAACTGCGCGCCCTCTGCCATCCTCAAAGAAGTAAGGCCCTAGGATACCATGGGCTGACATAGCGGCCCAAACAGTCACTTTCGGACTATGTAAGGGCTTCTGATGCTTAAGTTTTGGATTGATGGGGCTCCAATAGCGGCAATTTTGTTTACTAACATGCCCGTTAAGATGGAAATGAGCCTCGTCAGAGAACATTATGTTATTGAAGGAAGTAAACCGATTCAACATTTCATTCGCATAATTTTGTCTTTGAATACCGTCAGTTTCCTTTAATTCTTGAACCAACTGAATTTTGTAAGGGTGCATATGTAAATCTTTCTTCAAAATCCGTTGTAACGATGTCCTGGATACGTTTAATGCTCTGGCGCGCTTACGAGTTGACTGTGTCGGATTTTCGCGAATAGACTGTGTCACTGTGTCTATGTTTTGTTCCGTACGTGACGTCCTTGGGCGACCCAACCGCGGTTTATCTAACGTCGAACCGGTCTCCTCGAACTTAGCAACCCAGTTCTTAATCGTTTGAAGAGTTGGAGTGTCGTCAAAGTTGTGTAAACCTTTGTGTTCTCGAAATTTACGCCGCGCAACGGTTGCCGAATTGTCGTTTTTATAAAACTCGCGCACACAAAACGCACGGTCCGCTCCGGTAAAACGCTCCATCGCGACTAAATTCCCAGAAACCGAAGTTACTCCCCCCGCTTCCCCTGCACCGCTCACGCGCGCCCTGTTCGTTTTATTCAAATTTTACTTTTCAAAGGACTTATGGGCCACCCTGTATTAGACATTATAACTATCATATACAACATAAATATAAGATTTTAGAAGTGACCGATGATTTATCGATCCAGAATCCTATGCTCACTCCACAATGAAGTTTTTACACTAAGGCTACAATTTCACTTTTTGAATTTTTTATTGCTTTCAACAGACAGACGAACTAACAGGACACTTGTCTTAAACCTTGGCAGAGTTGAGGACTTCTCTTTTTTATTGTGCTTCTCGATTGAGCGTTAAAGTGGTATGGGATAACCATTCAATGCCCCGCCCCCACGTAGTGGGAGCGTGAAGCCACACCTACTTCGCACCGAGGGTTACTACTTTAGTCAATCATTGTAATCTTTAATCGGCACCACCGCCCAACCTATTTCTGCCGTGAAGCAGTAATGCGTTTCGGTTTGAAGGTTGGGGCAGTTGTTGTACTTTAAAAAGCTGCGACTTGGAACTCTCGTCTCAAGATGAGTGGCGGCATTTACGTTGTCGATGTCAATGGGCTTCGATGATCACTTATCACCAGGTGGGTCGAGCTCTCGTCCTCCCAACATAGCAGTTAAAGAAAATTCAAATAATGTTAATAAAATTAAAAAAGCATGCCAAACGATTATCTATATTATTATACCTAAATGATTGATAAATAAATATGTATTGAACTTACCAACAACGGCCATACAAAGCTGATTGAAACTAAATAGTCTTTTGGAAGGCATCTGAACGATCACTCTGTCGTCTTGTTTCCTCACGATGGTCCCAGACGTGCCTGCCGCGTGTATGTACAGACCGCCTTGACCTAGAAAATTAATCATGATTATTCAAGAAATATTTCTTAGAAGAAGATGAAGAAAAAATACATTAGTACGAAAAAAAAATAAAAAACTTTTTCTATAACTGATAATACTTTAAAAAAAGAAGGTTCTTACTGACATATTATTATTATTATAAGTCATTAATAACATTCAATTTATGAAGTTTTTTTTTATTACATTAGCTTGGTAGATGGGTCACAATCCACTTGATTTCTAATGATTTCCAGAAACACCACAAAATGAATTCCATTACCATTGATTCATATGGTGGAAGACTATAAAAATATTGTGATGCTTTCCTTCGCTTGAGGCGTGACATATGGACATTTTGTCGAAAATATAGTATTTTCGTTACACATTGCTTATTACATATTAAATTATCTTTATTGTTATACATAACCTAGACCTACAAAGTATACAAAAAAAAATACCAGGTTCTTTCTCGACGCAGTGCACTAGCGTTCCTATAGGTAAAGCTCCTAGTACGTAAGCATCGCCTTCGTTTGCACGAACTAAAATGTAGAGAAAAGTGTGAGTATCGATGAAAAGATTTTTAATTTATTTTTAAAATCAAACATAGAGTATGACAATAGACGAATAATCCTTTCGTATTAACTAAACGTGGATAAATTCAAGAATATAATGGGTAATAAGCTGTTTGTGCTCAACGTGATAGTTGAATTTATTCTGTTGTTTTCTTTTAAATGATATAACTAAAGTTAATATATTTTTATTTATTGCTTAGATGTTTGGACGAGCTCACAGCCCACCTGATGTTAAGTGGTTACCATATGGAGCCCATAGACATCTACAACGTAAATGCGCCACCCATACACTCATGATAATATGTATAAATTCGAATTCGAACGGTCTCATCATCATCATCATCAACCTATAGCAGCCCACTGCTGGACATAGGCCTCTCCAATTGCAAGCCACGAGCACGATCCTCCGCTTCTCTCATGCAGCTCTGACTAGCCATCATGCATAGGTTTTCACTCCACTGAGCCTGAAGGCGACCTATACTACGTTTGCTAATTCGCGGTCTCCACTCAGGAACACGTCCATCGGTTATCGTTTGTCCATCTAATATTATTTATTTATTTCTTTATATTTTGTCAGGAGAAAATCGCCGGACTCCCACCCTCCACTGGGGATGGCGAGCGGAACATGTCAGGGTAGAAGCGACTAAAACCTGTCACTTAACAACTCACGTCCGAGCCTCGCATGAGACAGAACTCATGAAAAGGCAAAGGGCTCCCCGCTTGCGAGGGGAAGTGAAGCGTTTAGTGCGAAGCACATCTCTCCCGACACCCTCCCCCGTTGTCCGGCTAATATGGCCAGCTATAAAATTAATTCGAACGGTCTATACCTCTGTAATTGTGTTACGATTGCGTGTCATGACCGTAGACATAATTAATGTCAAAACACCTTTATTCGTTGACAATTAATTGTGTATTTCAAAATCAATAATAAAGGCGCAGTAAAATAAAAATAAATTTAAAACCGTAACTTTTTCATTAGGTTATATGACTTGAGTCGTTTGGTTTTAAAGGCTGCGTGTTTTGGGAGGATAACAAACACCAAAAATCCTATTCGAAGTGTCTTGAAAAGAAGAAAGAAGTGACGGGAAAAAAGATTAAGCCGTAAAAGTCGTTTCAAGTTACGTATTTCACCGTAAATAATAAGATAACACATCATATGTTCACCATAAAGGACACTTATTTTTATTTAGAAACGCACTATCAAGAAATTATCAATCAATATGGTCACATTGTTTTGCGCTTTCTCTATTTTTACAACACAGCTGCAAGACACTTAGTTTCTTCAGCATCATATTAGTGACATAAGAGTAAAAGAGATAGTGATCTTCTTTATATTTACCTGGTATTCTCGGAAGTTTACAGGATGTTTTGATTATATCCCCAGCTTTCATGTTCTCGGTGGCTAAAATATATTTTAACTTGTCACCAACTGCCACTAAAGCTACATGCGCAGTTCTGCATCCATCTTCTATAATCTGGAACGAAAACATTGTAATTTTAGAACAGAATGGTAATACTAATACCAAAACAGTTGTATTAAATAAATAAAAATTAAAATATTTTTTTTACAATAGTAATTAGAGTACATGATGCAGTTTGACAGCTTAGTGCTCACCTCTTAAGGTTACAACAAAGATTACATATATAGTCCAAAGATAAAAATGCAAAATTTTTGTAATATTGAATTTGAAATTGAAACTTGGTAAACAAAAATAATCCTATCGCACATTGTTTATGCTGTTGTAACAAAAGTTTCCTCAAAACTTTTTAATGCATTTAGAAGTAAAACAAGAACAAAATTCAAAAAGGAAATATCAGTATTCAGTATTTTAATATAAAATTAACATTTAATAATTAAAACGTTAATTTAATTACACATAAATAAATAAATAGCTGGGAAGTAATCACACATGGGCCTCAAATTAGGATTCCCTTTGTACTAGAGACTAACATACAATATATTGTGTCTGGTTAATAAATAACAACTACAAATTCAATTTACTTTTAAAAAAAACATGTAATAGTTAGGATTACATACTTTCAAACTTTAATCAAGCCACTGCCTCATGCCAATTTTTAGTTTTGCTGTAAATTATCAGATTTGGTCACATGTCTTATTAATACTTAAATGCTTACTGAAACAAAAACTTTTCATTGAAGTTTTTTTGTAACCGTTTATCATATATTATGATTTTACATAGAAAAAATTGTACCTGCATTTGGTATTTCAATATCACATGGTCAAATTATTTGATACTAATCTTTCTGGCATCTTACTTATAGACAATTCTTATTAAATTTTATAATAAAAGATTCACATAAATAAAATGACTTTTTTTTTATTAAAGATAAAGTAGTTAGGCTGCTCTTTTACTCAGTTAACAGGTTATCATCAGAGCGTGAGATAGGGAGATATTTTCATATTTGATGATTTTTTAATACCTGTATAACTTTTTCTTCTTGTGGTGGACCCTCAGTAGGCCCAACTCTGTACCAGTCTATCCAGTGATATTTGTGTTTTATACCTCCTCCGATACCTTTAGCGACCACACGTCCTGAAAATAATATATTTTTAGCCAGCTATCAGAGATGAAATTCTTAGCAATACATGGATTCACATTGTAAAGGTCCATTGTGTTACAGGGAGAGGAATTTGTATAAAGAATGCCAGAGAACTTACAACCCTATATACGAATTCATGCGGACGTCTTATCTTTTGGGCCACAAGGACTTCAAAATTAGTGTTATTAGGTTTGCCTTACACCTCAACCCCTTTATTTATATTCAACATATTAATTATTTAATTGTAGGTATTTATTTAATTAATTATACTAAATATATGATTTCAATAATTAAAATAAATGTTCAAGTGAAATAAAAATTTCGACTATTACACATACTAACTAAAAAATAAAAAAGCTCTTTTAGTCAATTATTGCAAGACATGGTAATCATTTCATTGGTGGTATTTAAATGAAAACATTGAAATAAAATAAAAATATTAATTTCTTAGCTTATCCTTGCCTGCAATAAGTAGTAAACCTTTAATTAGAATTTTATTTTTTTAATTCATTTAGATAAACCATTTGGTATAATTTTCTTCTGTAATATTTTATTTATTTATGTTGTAGTACCGACCTGTTTCTGGATCCCTTCCAGCTAGATTTGTAACTTCTAAAGGTTTTACTGTATATTGTTCAGGAAAATGTACAATACGCCTGTAACTTTTTCCGAAACCAGGTTTCGGCTTTTCTATATTGGGTTTACTCGCAGAATGAACAACACCAACGTGAAGATTTCGTCTCGCCACCATCGCAGTAGCGATGGTTAAGTTAGAAAAAAGCCTGTTTAAGGCCATTATATTTTTGATCTTAAAACTTAAACATAAAACTGTAGACGGTAGGTTATTTGGTAGATTTACCATAGATTTCCAATTGACGTAACCTAAATACAAGTGTTGTATCTACATAATCTCTTACTTAATCTATGTCTAAAATCATGAAGCTTAAAAGCTTTATTTAGAAGTTAGGCTATCCACTATGAAGGGTATAGCATAGGTTTCTAATGTTTCTACAAGTTACAAGTTTTGATGTCATAAAGTATCATTCATTATTAATTCATTACTTTACTTTTATGAATGTGTCTTAATGTCTGTGTACAGGCTAAAAAATTGGACATAAAAAACGACTCTCATTTTGCAGACCACTAAATTAGAAGGTATAAGTAGAAATTTAGTATTTTTAGTTCTTGGAAAATCTTGTTTTTCAGTATTGTTCTTGGTTTGAGCGTTATTTTCAATTTTGCCATTCATTGCTACGTCAAATGAAACGTGCTTGTACACAGTTGCCACCTAGCGTCAACCTCTCACATGAATTTAATCGTGAATGTGGCGTGTGTTGTTTGGGAAATTTCATGTCGTAAATAAATTAGTTTCAAAAGATCACTTTTTACAGTTATAACTCAAGTTCATGTGTGTTATGAGATTAATCAGTTGAGAGAACTGCTGTCTATATCGGCAAGTTAACTTAAGAGGTTGTTTAGTTTTGGTATTTTGTCATATGTTGCACGCCTGCCTTGGGATCTTGAAGCATACAAAAAAATAATAAGTTATTCCGATGCTAAATTGATAATGCCGTAAGTTATGAAGTGTTATTTAGCGCTCAATATTTCTAAACAAGTAAATTTACGATAAATTACGTAGCATTGTAGTGTTACCGGAGTTATTATTGGAAGGTTACTTGTGGCTGTACTCATTTTATGACTGATATCAGTCTTACGAGTTACGAATGTTACGATTATTATAAGAAGACATCCCCTGTTATGAATATATAAATTAGTGACTAACTTACTAAAGACTGATCCTGGAATAGAATAAATGAAACTTCTTTTGTTATTTTGACTGTCAATTCAACTGAATGCTGATACGAAAAAAACTTTGTTACAGAAATAGACGCAACCAGTCTTCCGGCGCATTATTTCGACTACTTGTGACAATGCGGTGCCTTATGATTGAATGTATTTACTGAAATCTTTATTGCTCTTCCATAATGATAGTCAGAGCTGACGCTGAATAGTGTCATAATGAGTCACAATCTGGCGGGAATGCCATCTTACAGGCTACCAGGGCCAGGGTTAGGACCTCCAGACTTCAAGCCTCCGATGGATACACCTACTCCACAAGCTTCAGCCCCAAGTAATCCTAAGAAGCGGAGAAAGACGTCTAATGCTAGTAATGCCCTGACACCACAGCCTCCACCAACAGCTCAAGATTTGCTTCCACCTCCACTCACAGGATATGGAGATACCATTGTAGCATCCAATCCTTTTGATGATTCTCCTTCTACAGTGTCCCACAATGGACCAATGATGAATCAAAATGGACCTATGATGAGTCAGAACAATTCGATGGGAATGATGGGTCCCATGCATGGTATGGGAGGCCCTCCAATGAGACACATGAGCCCTCTGCCACACAGCATGAGCCCTATGAATCAGCAAATGCCACCTAGAGGAGGAATAAGTCCAATGGGCAATATGAGCCCTATGGGACATATGGGAGGCATGTCGCCAATGGGAGGCCCAAGTATGGGAATGAGTAATCATAGTATGGGACCTGGCATGGGACCAACATCAAGATCAATGGGTAGTCCTATGAGCCCAATGAATTCTATGCCTATGGGATCTCCTATGTCTNCTTCCGGCGCATTATTTCGACTACTTGTGACAATGCGGTGCCTTATGATTGAATGTATTTACTGAAATCTTTATTGCTCTTCCATAATGATAGTCAGAGCTGACGCTGAATAGTGTCATAATGAGTCACAATCTGGCGGGAATGCCATCTTACAGGCTACCAGGGCCAGGGTTAGGACCTCCAGACTTCAAGCCTCCGATGGATACACCTACTCCACAAGCTTCAGCCCCAAGTAATCCTAAGAAGCGGAGAAAGACGTCTAATGCTAGTAATGCCCTGACACCACAGCCTCCACCAACAGCTCAAGATTTGCTTCCACCTCCACTCACAGGATATGGAGATACCATTGTAGCATCCAATCCTTTTGATGATTCTCCTTCTACAGTGTCCCACAATGGACCAATGATGAATCAAAATGGACCTATGATGAGTCAGAACAATTCGATGGGAATGATGGGTCCCATGCATGGTATGGGAGGCCCTCCAATGAGACACATGAGCCCTCTGCCACACAGCATGAGCCCTATGAATCAGCAAATGCCACCTAGAGGAGGAATAAGTCCAATGGGCAATATGAGCCCTATGGGACATATGGGAGGCATGTCGCCAATGGGAGGCCCAAGTATGGGAATGAGTAATCATAGTATGGGACCTGGCATGGGACCAACATCAAGATCAATGGGTAGTCCTATGAGCCCAATGAATTCTATGCCTATGGGATCTCCTATGTCTTCTGGTCCTATGGGTAGTCCTATGAATATGGGTTCAATGTCAGGTAGTCACATGAGCAATAGTCCAATGGGTCCACCCATGCACAGTCCACTAGGGGCAGGATCTATGAATGGGCCCATGAATGGACCTATGGGGGGAGGTGGCCCGAGTATGAGTGTTCCAAGAATGAATGGACCAATGGGTCCCAGTTGTTCCAATGGTTCAATGGGACCAAACAATTCAATTATGTCTTCAAATCCTATGCAAAACTCTGTTATGGGTCCTGGTCATTGTGGGCCAATGAGACATGGAAGTCCTATGACCTCTGGAATGGGTAGCGGTCCAATGGGAGGCAATGGACCAATGACATCTATGGGTCCAGGCCCTCCATACAATACCAGTCATATGGGGCATGGTGGACCTATGGGCATGGGAGGAAATGGCTCAATGGGAATGGGTCCTGGTCCAGGCAACATGGGAAATTGTGGACCACTGGCTGGAATGAGTGGANAATCCTAAGAAGCGGAGAAAGACGTCTAATGCTAGTAATGCCCTGACACCACAGCCTCCACCAACAGCTCAAGATTTGCTTCCACCTCCACTCACAGGATATGGAGATACCATTGTAGCATCCAATCCTTTTGATGATTCTCCTTCTACAGTGTCCCACAATGGACCAATGATGAATCAAAATGGACCTATGATGAGTCAGAACAATTCGATGGGAATGATGGGTCCCATGCATGGTATGGGAGGCCCTCCAATGAGACACATGAGCCCTCTGCCACACAGCATGAGCCCTATGAATCAGCAAATGCCACCTAGAGGAGGAATAAGTCCAATGGGCAATATGAGCCCTATGGGACATATGGGAGGCATGTCGCCAATGGGAGGCCCAAGTATGGGAATGAGTAATCATAGTATGGGACCTGGCATGGGACCAACATCAAGATCAATGGGTAGTCCTATGAGCCCAATGAATTCTATGCCTATGGGATCTCCTATGTCTTCTGGTCCTATGGGTAGTCCTATGAATATGGGTTCAATGTCAGGTAGTCACATGAGCAATAGTCCAATGGGTCCACCCATGCACAGTCCACTAGGGGCAGGATCTATGAATGGGCCCATGAATGGACCTATGGGGGGAGGTGGCCCGAGTATGAGTGTTCCAAGAATGAATGGACCAATGGGTCCCAGTTGTTCCAATGGTTCAATGGGACCAAACAATTCAATTATGTCTTCAAATCCTATGCAAAACTCTGTTATGGGTCCTGGTCATTGTGGGCCAATGAGACATGGAAGTCCTATGACCTCTGGAATGGGTAGTGGTCCAATGGGAGGCAATGGACCAATGACATCTATGGGTCCAGGCCCTCCATACAATACCAGTCATATGGGGCATGGTGGACCTATGGGTATGGGAGGAAATGGCTCAATGGGAATGGGTCCTGGTCCAGGCAACATGGGAAATTGTGGACCACTGGCTGGAATGAGTGGAATGGCTATGGGGGGACCAGGAGGTCAAGGTGTGGGGCCAATGGGACAAGGAATGGGTATGTTTGGTCCTAAACCTATGCCAGTCAGTGCAGGGAAAGTCTATCCCCCAGATCAACCTATGGTGTTCAACCCACAGAATCCAAATGCACCCCCAATATATCCTTGTGGAGTATGTCACAAAGAGGTGCATGATAATGATCAAGCTATACTGTGCGAGTCGGGATGTAACTTTTGGTTTCACAGGTATGTATTTTTTTAAATTCTAATGTAGATTTTGGATTGTTGTATTGAGATAACTGTGGTGACTGAAGTGCTTTGACAACAGAAAATTGTAGTAGTACAAGCTACTAGATAGGGTCTTAGTTTTTTTATAATTGTATGTGGATGTTAAACGATCGTGTGATGGTAACATTATTTGAGTAACCAATTCCTACCTCTTGGTATTGGATCTATTTCAATGATCAGTGTTGTATAATATAACAGATGATCATGAATTGTGAAGGAATATATTATGTCATATTTTTAAATAATATTTAATGTTTCTCGGTCTCTAAAAATTGATCTAATAATTGTTGCTCAGTTACATTCTATATGAGTAAATTAGTCAACTCTAGATAGTTGCAACTCAATTTTGTTTCAGTAATTCCTTATTCTTATTTATACTGAAAGTTTTAACACAAGCATTGCTGGGGCCGTTTAAAATTGGTGATGTAGGGGTGATCATTAAAGCTCATGAACAAGCTCAACATGCTCGACATGAGAAATTAGTTATGACTAGGAAAACTAAAATACCATATTCTATATGGTCTTAGTGGTTTTGTATCCATCCATTCAATCTATCCAATTGCCATTTATGCTAGGACTGGCTCAAAAATGAAGACTATGTTTTTTTGAAATTGATGTACATAAAACATATATATCTTAAAGATAATGTAAATAAAATAAAATAATTGCCATGAAACGCCTACCCAACTTCATGTATACCAGCTTGAAACTACTACTGCAGAGAAACTGAGACTTCAATGGCATATCATAAATAGGGTGATGATATTTACAGTAGTGGTTTGCAAAATTTATCCCTGATCTGAAAAGATAGATATATATCATTTTGCTCAAAAGGTATATATCACTCATTTAGACCACTAGCTTAGTGATCCAATTCAACTGATTGGTCTCTCAATTAATTCATTTCTTCGTCTAGATCATTTAGCTCAGTATACATATGTCATTCACTTTGTATGGAATATTTACAATGGTCAGCTCAGTTTGTAACTGTCAGGGCCTATATATACACTTACTAATACGCAATATAGTTTATTAACACTAGTTTTATGATCAAACATTGAATATTTACAACATGCAGCTTAACATAGAACTAAACACATTAAGATTTTTTTTTTCGTTTTTTTTTTTTATATAACTTCGCATTATTCGTAATATCCCGTTCATATTTCGTATCATCGTTCTGGTCGAACCCGTCGCTTGCGACGAAGGGCTCGACGAGTAAATAAACCCGCAGACACAGCCCACTGAGTTTCTCGCCGGATCTTCTCAGTGGGTAGCGTTTCCGATCCGGTGGTAGATTCTGCGAAGCACGGCTCTTGCTAGGGTTCGTGTTAGCAACGTCATCGGGTTTGAGCCCCGTGAGCTCACCTACTAGTTGAGGCGACGCTGATATAGCCTCTCAAGGCTATCAGCTTAGATAGGAAAAAAAAAAACGTAATATTAACTGCGCAAATTAATGGCTACCTTTTTATGTAAGAATAAAGCAAATATAAATGTAGTTTTAAAAATACATGTTAAGCTTTATTCTTATAGAAATAATGTACATTTTTCCTTGACAACCCTTACACTTTTACTTTAATTATTAAATTTGTGGTTTTGTATTCGTGTTTCGGCGTATTGGTCGATTAAAATAAAATTTTGTACATATTTGTTTTTGTACCTAAAATGCCAACCATTTTAAGTACGTTTGGAATAATAAAAAAATTGTAGTTGAGTTACAAACAACAGAATCTAAATAAGTTTTTTTAATACTGCTAAATTCTAAAAAGTATTTGTATTTTTTTTTTATTGCTTAGATGGGTGGACGAGCTCACAGCCCACCTGGTGTTAAGTGGTTACATATCATATCAGTATAGTAAAATCACATAGTGAGATTTGAGAAGTCGAAGATTCAATTGCATTGGAGTACTCAATGTTGGTTTTTCGAACTACGCAATGCAGTGCATTATAGTCATAATTTAATTTTACAATTCAAAACAGCATGATAAACAGAGAACACCTGTAAAAACAAGCTATTTATTGTATGTACACTTTAAGTTAATTTTGAAGCCATCGTGGCCTAAAAGATAAGACGTCCGGTGCATTCGTATCTCTAGCGATGCAACGGTGTTCGAATCCCACTGACAATTAACAATTTTTCTAATGAAAAACGTACTTACCAAATGTTCACAGTTGACTTCCACAGTAAAGGAATGACATCGTGCAATAAAAATCAAACCCGCAAAATTGTAGTTTGCGTAATTACTGGTGGTAGGACGTCTTGTGAGTCCGCACGGGTAGGTACCACCACCCTGCCTATTTCTGCCGTGAAGCACCAATGCATTTCAGTTTGAAGGGCAGAGCAGCCGTTGTAACTTACTGAGACCTTAGAACTCATATCTCAAGGTGGGTGACGGCATTTAAGTTGTAGATGTCTACCGGCTCCGGTAACCACTTAACATCAGGTGGGCCGTGAGCTCGTCCACCCGTGTAAGCAATAAAAAAAACTGACTAAAATAGTTAAATTTTATTTTCAGGGGATGTACAGGACTATCGGAGCCTGCATTCCAGCTGTTGACAGCTGAAGTATACGCCGAGTGGGTGTGTGATAAGTGCCTATCTTCTAAGAACATACCGCTGGTAAAGTTTAAGCCATAGCGATGCGCCATTCCGTGCTGCCCCCACCAATATGAGTAAGAACTGTTCTTGAACATCACAAGTCTTTTTGAAAACTAGGTGGACTTTGATTCGCGCAAATCGAGTCTGACGTTGATTGTCTTAACTTGAAATGAGGTGCTATGAGAAGCATTGTGGACCGTCCTAGTCTGCGCGAAAATTTCACTTCGAACTGATCGAATGTGTGTGTGTATGAAATGAATAATTAGTTTATCGATTGTGAGAGATTTTGTTTTATCATTTTTGTAACTCAGTAAGAAAGATCTCATATTGGGTAATTTAATTAAGGAATTAAAAAATATATATATCGAAAATGAAAAGCAATATTACTATCGTTGACAATTTCCCGATAACTAATAAATTATATTTGCAGACGGCTCCGTATCTAGTCTGTAAAATTATTGTCATTTGCCTTATTTATTTATAATGTTATGAATGCTATTAAACAAAATTGTATAATGTTTATGTGTGATGTTCACGAAAAGTGTTCCTTCGTAACGCATATCTGATCGAGCACATGAATATTTGTTGTAATGATGCACGACTCGAGTTACAAAGCAATAAATAAAATGATGTCTGTCGTATGTTTTCGATAGGTACCTACTTGTTTAACGTGTCGCTTTAGTGTTTGTGCATATTGTAAATATTTTCTAAAATGGTAAGTCTAAATTAATGGTATTCTTTTCCGCCTCGAATCAATGGTGACCAGACTTGTACGTACTTGTACGTAATAATACAAGTGCAGTGTGGTATGAAAACCAGTGACTAGTATCGTATAGTCGTCGGGATTTCGCATCCAGTGAGGGGACTATCCGCGGTCGCAATGTGTGAAACACTCATAAGCGAAATTCATTTTGCGTCGATAAGAACTATGTACTTATTATTTCGGTGCCCTGTTTTGCATGTAATATTACGCGCGTTATCTCTACTTACATGTAAATACGATGAATCCATACGCTTTCTTACATTTAAGAGTGTTAAATGTGTTTGTCAATTTTTTAACTTTTGGAGAATGTTTTTTTTTTTTGTATACTCTTAAGGTGTAAAATAGGTTGTGTAAATACTACGCGTAGCTTATAAACGAGATTAAACATGTGGTGGCTCCGAAATATACGCGCTTGGTTGTGATTATGAAATGCATTAATAAGTGATGTTAGTTTATTATTTAGAGACACGTGAGCCGCGCTGCGGAGTCACCCACATGTGACGTATGTAATCTAGACTAATAATAGACAAACCTCTTTATCTAAAGTTTAAAAAAAAAGTACATTAAAATCATCGTCGAAGACAGTCATAGACCAATTCCTAGTTAGGATAAAATACAAAATAAAATTTAAAACCATTTTATGTATTGAATAATATTTTTAAATAGATTTTCTTTTTTGGCCACAATCTTAAACTTTAATTTATTTTAGTTATTAAAATAAAACAACTGCATGTTTTTTTTTTTATGTTGCAGTCCCACTTAAATCTTACGTTGGTTGTGCTAATAAAAATGAAGTCACTACAATTATTGTTCTGTCGTTTTTTCTTGCATCCACAAAAATAATATTTAAAAAAATAATTCAATGTCTTTTATATATCACTGCTCGTAGGGAACGAACAAATAATAATTTACGGATAATCTTTGTTTCTATTGTCTTGAAATATCTGGAAAAACAATATGGCCACGTTGTATGTTTATAAAATAAAATGATTTTAGTATAAAGAAAAATAATCGGAGATTCTGTATTTCCTTCTACGTATTTACGTTAGTAATTCAGTAGGATAACTTAATATCAAATGTATTTTTTTTACCTTAAAGTCAATTTTAACTATTAATATTATTGTGTATTATATTGTCTTTACCTTGTGTTTGTTTGTGTGTAATATGGGGTCCTATGTTTGGCACATCAATGTGGAATAAAGCTACTGTATAATGCACCAATATTATATTAAAACTACATATACGAAGTTAAAATGTATCGTATGAAACTTTATTGTAATAAAAAAATTAATATTAGTATAACTACCTATTTACTATCATTGATTTGTCTATGGTTACTGAAATTACAGGTCACTGCCCTTACGTTCGTTATTTCACACCGAAAATTTCATACGCGATGTGCCAAATGAAAGACCGCATCATCGAATAATTTGTGTTATATCGTAACCTCATTTTTACTAGTTTATCGAAGTTCTAAACAACATAGTAATATCAGATAACACGTTTGCAAGTTAAAAAAAACCATAAACAATTGTTCCATATTGAATTGTATTTTTTTTTCGTGCGTATTTCCATTATGTTTATTTCCGATGATTCAAACTCTTTACAGCATTGGGGTTTCCTCGGTGAAATAATAAGGTTCCTACATCGTGCATAAAAGTCGTTCCCGAAAATCAAGGTATGCCACATTCCCATCAAAATAACAAATCATCATACAATTTTGTTTGTATTGCGATCGATGTTAATAAAACTTCCTTCATTTGATTGCAGTCATAAATTAAAAAAACTTTTCCCGCTCACCATCAGTGCTTTTTTGCTCTATTCGGCAAAAGGAACGGTATCTTTCAGCCTAACATGTGCTTACATCAGGAATGAATGTAACGACAAATACATACGAACAAAAAAATCGTAATGTACTGTAACTAAATGTAATTTTATAACGAACGTCATTAGTTTATAATAATGTTAGCGAGATTACACAGTTTAAATGATTAAGAATCATTCACAAATGAGTCGGCCTTGGCGACGTCTACCGGCGACGACAAAGAAAAAAATGTTATAGTAAAACATATTTTTGTCACAAATGCTTCTTTGACAACATACGTTATATGCATACCTGATAGCATTGAGTAAGTGTGACTAAATTGGAGATACAATTTTAAAGGCGAGCAACATGCTTTTAAAATAAAAATATACCTAACCTAACCTCACCTAACATATTTTCAACATTAAGGAATAATATTGCGTAAAACAACCCACAAAAATAATAAATCATCATGATGATATGGCGTATAGCCGGCCCGTGCAGGTAGGTACCGCCACCCTGAATATTCCTACCGTTTGGTCTATTAGCCACGATAAAGTCATCGAAAACAAAGAAAAAATAGTTAAGAATTAAAATTGGCACATACATCTGACAGTGTTACTGTAATCATTAACCGATTATACAAAATATTAACAACCAAATTAATTAAAATTACTGTTTATTGTCTCGTTAGATTTATTGTAAGCTTGCGATGTTTGTAATCGAGTAACATTATTGTTACTAATCTATTAGTACGCATTACGACAGTACAATTTTTAAATGGAAAAGAAAATTTGTATAGAGTTTTCTAAATGGTGTTCAATTGTTTTTATAGTAACGTGATTAGTCAAGCAATATTATATGAAGAGAAGTTATCAAAATGTGTTAAGATATTTAAAAATGCAAGCGCTCCTCGCTCGGATTTGTTGTTTAAGTGAGTGAGAGATTTACGCAAATAAATAACATTGAATGTAAATATATTTAATATTGATCGATTAGGTAACGAATGACGATATTCTGTACAGTTATTTGTAATGAAAATATAGAAAATAATTAGTTTAAATCGTTCATGAAGATAATAATTATTTTAATGCAGTTTACATCACAATCGTTGAGGCGATAGTTCCCACAAAAAAATGTGTTTTCAAATGTGTCTTAATTTACAGTAATCATAAGAATTCAAATAATACACGTTATTGTCCGGTCACTGTCTTGGTTTTTTGGTCGTCGGATTTGATTACCCTTTATTTTGAAGTGGAAAGAGTTCTTCAAATATAGTACTTTGGGTTATTAAAATAGAATCTATCAAACCTATACGGAAGTTACTATAACATTTATTGTTAGCGGGGTCGCAATCATCTTCTCGTTCCGCTGACCACCGACCCACGCGTGATGGCTGAGAAGTGTATTTATTTATTGCAAGTCACAGTCACTGGATACACCTTCGCCTTAAATATATTCGAAGACTGCATTTTAAGCTGGATAGGAGAATTCGTACTGACTGTTTCTACATTTTATTTACGAGTTGGAATAGCGCCCCTAACGGCAAACGTAGGCACACGTTCCAAACCAATACAAATTTGAGTTAACTTTTACGTTATCGAGAACTTTAAAAAACTCGCATTAAGCACACCGAAGAAACCTTGCGTATCGATACCCATTTGTGGAACTCACTTGTTGGTTATCGGTTTTCGCGAATGGTAGATATAATCAAAACTACTTTTACGGTTTAATCTCGCGTTTCATATGGTCATCATGTTATTGTCGACGTATTGAATACGTACAGTGAGGCCTATAAAATCAAAGGCAGCTAAACGCCTTAATGTCGTAAAATGGATTAACAATGGCGCTACCTATCTTGTTTAATTAGTTGGACACGCTTTAGTGTTTTCATGTTATAACAAATGCAGCTAAATCTCTAACAAATTCAGTTCAAAAAAATTATTTTTACTCTGTACTAAGTACTAATAAACGAAGTATTATCATTTAAAATTCAGATTATTAGTAATATTCTCATTCTTTATAAATCTGCTTTAAAATAAATAATATCGTAGCTATCCGGACAAAGTTATTTCAGCTTCTCAAACCGGGAGTGTTTCTAACACTTGCCCTAGCAAGAGCAGTACTTTGATGGATCGGGAGGATTCGTAATGACGTGTTTAGTGCCGATTTTTTTAGTTTACCTGAATATTTGACAGACTTGGATTTAGCTGCCTTTGATTTTATAGGCCTCAAGTATTCGTGGTCACAGACGACTAAAAGTAGTTTTAATTTTCACTTGTTTGATTTTGTTTTTTTTTTTACGATTGCGTTCGTATATACTCGGTATTTATTAAGCTCAGCACTAGTTATAACAAAAACTCCAAAAGGGCTTGGACAAACACAAATTTATTCCAATTATGAAACCAGTTTTATAATTTTGAATGTAATAAGATTTTACTACCGAAAATGTTGAAACAGACACATATTCCTGTATTCTATCCAGCTTTGTTGTCTATAATAGTTCGAGAAATTGAAATTGAATTGAAAATTATTTATCAAATTTATTTGGTACACAGGACTAGAGGGTAGAAGTAAAAGACTCTTTGTATCAAAATGGCGTGACAAAGTAAAGATGGCGCCACTGCTGCAAAAGTGTAAATTTTAAAGTTGTATAAATTTAATAAATTTCTTCAATTTATCTTTTAATAAGCAAGTACTATTCAATTAAAATTTTTTGTCATTATTATTTACGGTGGGTTCATCAATTACTGTATTAACGAGAAAATTTAAGGAAGCATGCTTCGTTTTGTTAAACATTTAAATCAAACCCTGGTGGTAAGTTTATAAGCGCCATTTTAATGATTTATTGAAATGCTGTTAGTTGTATGTGGTTGCCACTCCACTACCCTCAATAAATAATATGCAAGTTCAAATTTTGGACACTATCCTTCATCATGTCTTAGAAAGCTTAAGACAAAAAGACAGGACGATATAATTTTTTTTTATATCAAAAAGATCTGAATTTTTTTTTCAATTTGAACACTATAAATGTATCATTTCACAATAAATTATTGTTTGTTACGTAAACAACTTGGGTTGTAACGTGCATAAATAATATTAAGTTATATAATACAGATTTTATGAAATCTTAACAAAAGAATCAGTGGTCTTAACTTGTGCATAGTTTATTTTGTATTATGTGTATAATAACGAGCAATAAAAAAATATTGTTATTCATTTATTTTATTTACTCTCCTTAGACTCCTTGCATCAGTCTTATCATCGGCTTTCGCTAGTATAGTATAATTATACCGTAAAATTAGTTATAGTCACATCTTGCACATTTCGAATGCTTTGAAGTTTACGTGGAAATAAAATAATAAAATACATTACATGAAAAGCGAGATACTTCGAGGCCAAACGAAGGCTCTGGGTCAGCCGTCTCGGTAGCGTGGCCCGTCAGGTCCCCCAGGTTAGGCGGAACCGCTGGTGTCCGGGGATACCCCGCTGGGTCAGAATCAAACTTTTTTCCGGGCACCCGAACCGAATTTCATACGAGGTGTCCGAGCTTAAGTGGCGCGCAGGGTATGTGGAACTTGATAGTCTGCAGATTTTGGGAGCAGACCATGTGTCTAAGGATATTTATAAGGCCCTACCCACCAACTTTGTTTTTACCTCTTGTGAGTCCGCGCGGGTGGGTACCACCACCCTGCCTATTTCTGCCGTGAAGCAGTAATGCGTTTCGGTTTGAAGAGTGGGGCAGCTGTTGTAACTATACTTGAGACCTTAGAACTTATATCTCAAGGTGGGTGGCGCATTTACGTTGTGGATGTTTATGGGCTCACTCCAGTAACCACTTAACACCAGGTGGACTGTGAGCTCGTCCACCCATCTAAACAATAAAAAAAAATCCAAACGACCGACTCCCTTTGCACTCTCACCCGACGTCCGATCTCCGCCCGGGGCGAAACCCAGAAAGAGCAGTGGGGTTCCGTAGAATTTTTTCCATGCAGCGCACTAGAGTGTAGGTCCGCTTTGCTTCGCCCTCTTAGGTCTGGTTCAAAATCAGTCTGCGGGTCGTAGACGCGATACTCCGCCAACCGGTCGCTCTTTTCACGTAGTTATTACTCTCTTTAATAGGATGCTAGAGTGATGATAGCGCGTCAAGCAGCCTCGACCCCCATGCGTATTGATTAGTCTAACTTAAAATCTTTATATTACACGGTGTTAGTCATCCATTGTGTAAGTCACTAGTTAACATTTGTTAAGTGCATATTTCATCACATAAACCGGAACTAGCTTGCGGAATTCGATCACCGGTACAACCGCATCGCTCGATATGAATCTTAATCTGTAGACCATGACGACTTCAAGATTAGGGTAGGCAACGGTGTTGCTCTGCCTCTGGCATTGCTGACGTTCATGAGCAACGGTAACCACTCACTGTCAGGTGGGCCGTATACTCGTCTGCCCAAAAGGGAAATAAAAAAAATATATATATATATATATACTATGGAATACATACGTAGGCATCGGTTATTATATTAAAATTATGTATTTAAGAAAATATAGGATGTTTGTTAATCTGATAAAGGCATAAGTTCCCGGTTTAACGGCATATTGTGAACGGAGCATTGTTGTATATTGTTTAAAAAGTTTTGAAGTGAAAACTTCTTTAGAATCGTTGTGATTTCAAACCGGATGCAACGGAAAAAACGACAGGTAAGAGACACAAATACAAAAATGTGTAGGATGAAGCCAGCAAAGAATGAGACAGAAATATACGTACTATTTAATACAGCGCCATCTGTGACATTTTTTAATACTAACGTGTGTATGAAAGCTCTTGTAGTGAATTTTAATTTAGAATTATACGTGAAATTAAAATATCAATTCACAGAGGGCGCTGTATTTACCTTGTGTACCTTACAATTATTTACTAATGACAAAATTTTACATATACTTAAGACGTTTAGGATAATTGTATTTTAATTTTGGAAGGTTTCACTTCTACCACGTGTGAATAGCACACATTTTGTTTTTTTTATTACTTACCTTCGAAGGCAGACTACTGTAAGCAAATTTTATATCGATCAGAAAACGGAGAGGGATGCATTCGTCATTTTTATTACATTGTTGCGTGTACGATTGAGCATGCCCCACTTCGATAAAGCGGCACGACACGAGAACCCTCTCATCGTGGCCGCCGGTAACTACATTCCCAATCCTGCGGACAGAATGGAAAGCAGTCGACGTCGCCCCAAACACGTCATTTCGGATCCTCCCGATCCACTAACGGTGCTTTTAGGTACCTCAAGTAGGTTTTCCCAAAAAAACTACTTAATGCTCAACGCGTAGGTACATAAATTTTAATTGAATCTTTTAGCAAAGATGTTGTTCGGTCAATACTTTTAAATGTTTTTAAGATTCGCAAAAATATTTTTAACTTATTAATTAAATAACCATACATTAGCCGCCGTTCCGTTACAATAACTAAGCATGCATTTTCATAATTTTAGTGGATTATTTAGTCTTAGAAAATCGATGATCTTCTCAACCACTAAAGGGTTCCAAAATCACGTCAGTTCAGAATATTACGGTTTACAGAAACATTTAAAACTTTAAAATTTGTTTCAGTTACGTTTTTTTTTTATTGCTTAAATGGGTGGACAAGCTCACAGCCCACCTGGTGTTAAGTGGTTACTGGAGCCCATAGACGTCTACAACGTAAATGCGTCACCCACCTTGAGATATAAGTTCTAAAGTCTCAAGTATAGTTACAGCGACTGCCCCACCCTTCAAACCGAAACGCATACTGCTTCACGGCAGAAATAGGCGGGGCGGTGGTACCTACCCGTGCGGACTCACAAGAGGCCCTACTACCAGTAATAACATTGAACATTCTTGAAACCTAAATTCCAACGTTAACAGAAACGATATTAAACACCCGGCAATGGTAAGCGTACGAAACTGGTTTTGATACAGCAGGACATTAAAGTAAGGATATTAAAACGGCTCCATTTAAATGAGTATCTCTTTATTGACGGTTGAGTCATTATGGCATACACGAAATCAACAGTCATTTCTAACTATCGTATTGAAAAAATCATCTCTAACGTACTCATCTTAAGACAATATATTGTTTGTATCCTTAAAATAATATAAAAATCGTTTTAATAATAAAATAAAAACGGATATGAATACCGACAAAAAGTTGTTATAATAGTCAGATCTTATTTTTAATAAATTGAAACAATACTTAAAAGGTATGTTCTGGGTGCTTGGTGCGAGTATTTTAACGTTCTCGATAGCGTAAAAGTTAACTCATATTTGTATGGAATGGGATCGTTTGCGTATGTTTGCCGCTAGGGGCGCTGCACAAAGTGGGAATGAGTTGCTCGCTCCGGTCATTTCAATATTGCAATGATTGTTATGTTATAATACTCATTGTAAAAATGAATATTAAAAAAAAAAGACATTCCCGCTGAGTTTCTTGCCAGTTCTTCTCAGGACGGAGGCTAGTTTTTGTGAATTGGCGGTAGTTCTTTTTGACGTTCAATAAGTATGTACTTTCATTTATGTTGAATATTTTTTTTTTATTTGATTTGATTTATTAACTTTTACGCTATCGAGAACGTTAAGAAACTAGCACTAAGCACACTGTAAAAATAATTTGCCCGCTAAAGGCACGATGTTATAGACTAATGTTTAACAAATACTAATTATACTTATAAACAATTAAGATAAAGTTAGAATACTGGGATCAAAATAATTAAAAAAAAAACCTATACTGTCCAAGTTTTTGTTTTAATACTATTTTTACTGAAACCGACCTGCGAGATTCAAAACTGCATCTATATATACATATACTTTTTTTTTATTATTATAATTGCATAGCAACGCATAGATGTACTTAGTTGATTGGTAGAACCATGTAAATCCATGTTCAAAGTGTTGGATAAATATTAATATCTTCCCAACCCGTAAAAATTAAATACTAAAAGAGATATAAGTATGTCAAATCCAAATTCAAATTCAACTCGAGTGTGGGAGTTGAATCTGCCTTCATCGCTTTGTACTCAAAACTATATCAGGGTGTAAAAGGCTATTTAGTTTAAGCGACATTTTTGCAACTTTACAGGACAGCCAACTAAATAAAAAACATTTGGAAAAAATATCATAACAAAAAATACTTCTTCAGCTATTTAAATTAAGTAAATTGAAGTTCAATTAAAAACATCATACTGTTAGTATAAATACCAAATAAAACAGACTTTAACTACAAATTTAAATGTCGCGTATTAGCCGAAATATCGCTTAGATTACGCCTTTCAGCCCTCGATATGCTCTATATTCAGATCTGAATAGGACAATGGATATGGGGAAGAGAGTACCATCTCTTCCAAGGGCCATCTCATTCAACTGAATGACTGTCAATCGTCGGCTATCAGAGCTCTCAATCCCCGTGGCCTATGAATAATAATATGTATCGTTCAGAGAGTAAACTAATATAACTAGATTGAATTATCATTGTCTTAATAACGCTTGACAAAAATGTAAAACAATAGTGTGATACCAAAATTAAACAATTTTATTTACTTTTAAGATTCGATCTGTTTTAGGATTTTCACTTCTTAATGATCACAGTACCAGCAATTAGCCCGATGGACTAATATTAGTTATTGATTATTGAATACCAGAGCAACCCACCAAAAATGTCCCGAACTAAAAATATTTTTTTTTAAATCTATTGCAATGCTTTTGGACCCTGATGCTACAATGCAAGAAACCCTTCCTAAAGCATTTATAACTACAACTTTATAACTGTTGGATAAAACACAAATGTATTCATGTTTATGTAGGTCTACATTTCCAGTTTTTCTCACTTCAATTCACTGTCATGGTAAAACTAAATTTATAAATGAACATATTTTATATTAATGATATTTTTGTTAGTAATATACACATCTTATCCCTTTAATACTATTTTGTGCATGTTAAGTATTGTCTAACATATTAATTTTGTCTTTTAAAAATTATATTCTAATGCAAGGTGTGAAATAATATTCTTAATTTGAAATATATATTTAAATATTATATATTAATACTATGTATATTTTTTTATTGAAGCTTTCAATTAAAAAGTTTCCCTATGCTTCTAGATTTACACTAAGTTGTGAATATCTGATGTGGGATTATACCACAAGACAAATGTCATCTAAATGAATAGTTCAAGTAACTTTAATCAAAACAAATGCAAAATATAAAATTGTAAGTAATATAATGTAATAAATGCAATTAATTGTAAGGCATTAAAGTGATACAAAAATGTTAATTTTACAATATTCATGCTGTAAATAAAATAAACATTTAAATATTTTGAAAAAAACTATACCATTTTACACCTTGCATTTATTCAGGTAATTTTATCCATATTCACTGCCCAAAGTTGTAAGACCTTTGCTCTGTATAGCAAACATTATAGCTGCATCCAAAAACTCAAAATGATTGTCGCCTAGATTAGGATCCTGATTTTCATTACTAGAACTTTGATTATCATTAAAACATTGATATGATATTGATGAATCAGGAAACAGTGAAAACTGAGACATCTTCTGTGGATCTTCACAGGCCCAAGTCAGTTCATTTGATTCTTCATTTTCTTGAACTGTCAATGATGGAGATGATTCTCGTGATGGTGAATGTCTATCATTACTAGAGCAACTTGCATTTTCTGAATTGTTTATGTTGCTACTGGTATTTTGATTTTGTAGGCCATGTGCAGAAATAGCCATTAGAATGCCTTCATTTTCAATGTTCTGTCCAGGTGATTCATTAACTAATTCTGCAACATCTAATGCTACAAATCTAGAATTGCGTACTGCTGTTAAAAGCGATACATACTCCCGTGATTCTAGTATGCTATTTACAGTGTTATCTACAAATCCCTTCGTCATCTGAAATCAGAGAAAAAAAATTTTTTATTTTAACTTTTTACATCATAAACTTTAAGATTAACTATTTAGATTTTACATCTGGTAGAGAGAAAAAAAAATTACCTGTCTTTCCTGCCACCGTGCTATACATTGGTCCTCAGTGTAGTTCTGTGAAACTACCATAGACATTGGTACAGACATTGCACTGTTAAAGCCACCACTAGTTCTACAATTTTCATTATTGTCATTAGAGCTCACATATCTTGGATACTGGAGCTTCCCATTTGACACACTTGTACTTGGAGTTAACAGAGACTTCTCGGAGTCTGTAATCACAGATTCTATTGTATTAAAGTCCTGATTTAAAAAATAATCTCCTAGTATCTCGAGGTTTTGCTTAGTTTCAATATCACTAGAATTACTTTCGCTCGATAATGACGGCCCAGGTACTGTTGAGTCTTCAGAGGAATCAGAATTTTCATTTTTCAAGTGATATTTTCCTTTGACTTGCCACGCGAATCTTGCCTTCTTGAGTGGGCGCTCAGAATCAGTCGAACCGTCGCCATTTTCTTGTCCTGTACACGACGATTCCTCACTAGCTTTCGTAATATTCATCACTTATTATTTCGCGTTTCCGAATTCGAACTTCTATTTCATTTGTAAACAAACCGTAATTAACAACCATATGATTGACAAGTACTTAGTTAATTAAAATTAAAATATTAAACAAGCCGTTTATCCAATTGAGCTATACTGTACTTATTAAATTTAATTGAAGATATCGTTTTTTAAATAAATAAAAATAACAGTATTTACGAAGCTACTAAAATAGATGACAATAATGAACAAAGTAAACTGGCTAACTCAGTCGCGCAACGAGAAACAAAAAAAACAAATTACTTTTTGACATTTCTGCTTTTTTAAAACTGAACTAAAGGCATTGAAGGCTGGATCATTCATCCTATGAGACCTTTTTAATTGGAAATTTTAGCATCATTTGTAAAATTTTAACAATCATGAATCCGTATTTTTGTTTTTAAGTTGTATCGTATACTAAATTTACCCATATTGCTTGCTATTTATTTAAATGTATTTTGAAATACACGTGATTAGATTTAAAATGTGGTTAAAAATGAGTTTTCTTTTTCTTATGTATACCGTTTCCTTTCTATCAAAACTCTTAAATGGTCCACTAAAAATAGTTTTTCACGTTCCTTTGTACTCAAAGAGGTGGGTAGGCTAAATGAAATAAACAAAGTTAACGAAGAATGAATTTCGAAAAACTGCAACCTCTTTTTTTTTCAAATTTTAAAGCAGATTTGCTTCGCGCCTGAAATAAACATAAAAGTTGTGAAAAAAATTATTTCTGTACAGGGTTGCAATTTTCTCTTTTCTGAGTATCTACATACTACCCCTGTGATATAATTGGAAAACAAGATAGAACAGCGGAACACATTTACATTTGTTATCTATACATATAAATAAAATTAGAGTGTTTGTTTGTAATATTGAAATAACCGCTTTTTACTACATGCATATGAATATATATACGGTACATACACCAAAATAACATTTTTTACAATTTTTGTCTGTCTGTCTATCTGTTTGTTCCGGCTAATCTCTAGAACGGCTGGACCGTTTTGATGAGATTTTCATTAATAGGTAGCTGATGATATAAGAAGTAACTTGGCTGCTTTTTTTAGACTAGCTTCGCCCCGCGGCGTCACCCGCAGTTATTGTCGTATCGCGCGCAACATGGCGGGACTCGCCTATCAATAATAATAATGAAATTTAATGTTTCCGAAGCGAAGCGAGGGCGGGTCACTAGTATAAAATAAAATCGATACTTCGACTTCATGTTTTGAGGTGGGTTGGCTGCGGTGGGTGCCTGCGTTCACGTTGCTATCTATATGGGCTTCACTAATCCTATAATATAACGTGGATTGTGAGCACCTCTGCCTCTCCATAGTAATAGCTGAAGAGTACTAAACTATCCCGGTCATCGTTCTCGTCGAACCCGTCGCCTGCGAGGAAGGGCTCGGCGAGTAAATTAACCCACAGACACAGCCCACTGAGTTTCTCGCCGGATCTTCTCAGTGGGTCGCGTTTCCGATCCGGTGGTAGATTCTGCGAAGCACGGCTCTTCTGACTAGGTTTTGTGTTAGCAACAAGATCAGGTTAGAGCTTCGCGAGGTCACCGATTAATCCAGTGAATCTAGAATAACCCCTCGAGGTTATTAGAATAGGTAGAACAAAAAAAAAATTACGAATTGAATCAATTCATCAAGCTGCAGGCCGCTAGATGCCGCTGTGTCAAATACCTTTTATATTATTATGTTCCGAGAGATGCCGCCAAATTTAAAATAAGTTATTTAGTTTGAGTCAATTATTATAATAGTTTAAACTATGTATTTCTTTTTAAATCACTACCTTAAACAAACGGAAAGCATGAGAGGGCAAAAGAACGAACGAACCGATTTAAAAAGTTTGTTAAATAATTGAACCACTTTGATTTAGTCCAGCATTGATTTGAAACAAACTTTTATTATCTTATGTAACTAAATTTATTAAACTATTTAATTATGCTCAAATATCTTCCTAAATCATTCTTAGCAACATATTTTCATTAATTATTATTCGTTAATACATATTTCGCTAAATGAATAATTAATTAATTAATTTAATTTGAAAACTAGGCAGATAAACATTACATGCATTGTAACCAAATTCAAAGTCCGTTAACTGTGTTGAATAATATTAATCACATATAAAGAACTTATCTATCTATAAGGACTCAGAAGTTCTCTATTCACAGATAATGTCGTGTAAGGGAGGGGAGGGAATCCTTTCCCGGTCCAATTACAATTTGATGAGTGTGCATAGTACCAGTCGCTACGAGATTGCCGTTCAGGCGTAACCCGAATTCCACCTGTTGGAAATATTTTTAATCCCATAATAACTCGATTGTAGATGGTTCTAGCATCGATTACGGACAGCACGAACGAGATATCATTTTGAAATGAAGGTAAATAAAAACAAAAATATGGATATTATTTTGTAGTTGTGCTAATGTCTTGTTTTATGATATCATTTACGAGGCGCGTGTGGGTGTATGCGTGCATTACGTTCGTTATTGTACGTATAAAATACTGTTGAAAACCCCAGCAAACTCTTTTCGAACTACTAAATCTTTTATCTTCTATTAACTTAATTTTTTCAGAATATAGTTTTCATTGGTGTATGTACGTGTCTCGTTTTAACTGTGTTGGCGGCACCGCAGATGTCGGATGCGCAATTAGAAAAAACCCTTGCTGATAAAGGCACAATGCAAAGACATCTCAGATGTGCACTTGGTGAAGGTCCCTGCGATATGGTGGGGAGAAGATTGAGAAGTAAGTACTTAATTAAATAAAGTTAAGCATTAAGTTACTTGGATGAAATTAATTCTGACTACAATGATGATTTAAATGGTGTAATGCGTCTAAATTACTCAAGCCACTAAGTCTAATTTAATAGTTTTCAAAGCAAAGTGCATTCACACTTGATTGTATGATTGTTATCCACATGCTAAAACTCACTCGTGATTGACAGAAAATAGTTTACAAATACCTGTTTGGTACATAGATACATTTACCTGTGTATAATCTATAACAAAAAGCTTCAATAAAAAAAAATCCATTTCACCAAAATACTAACAATAATAATTCAAAACCTTTCGAGCTCCGACAAGTTGAGTGGTATGAGTGAATCCGTAGTTATATTTTTTTGTTACTCTTTATGTTATATTTTATTGTTACCCTTTTCTTTTGTTTGGGTGACTTCGTTTCTCCAATCTCTAAGACCAAATTATTGTACGTCATATTAATTTAAAATTGATTGTTTTGTATGAAACGATGCTATGTTCAAATTCTTGTTTGATCGTAATTTTCGAACGCTAATTGAAATATAAAATTTTATTTATCTCTATACGTTTTGGTATTATGAGAGTGGACATTTGTTTGAAATAATTGATATTTTCGAACTTTGATCCCGTGAGATGATAATAATCCATGCGAGAGATGTCTCATCGCTTGACATATCAACTCGAAGAAACAGAATACAATCCGCAGTTTTATAGTCTTTGGAATTACGGCACCATCAGAATATGGTGATCAGTGAAGTTTATTTATTTTTATTTAATGCTTCGATGGGTGCACGAGCTCACGGCCCACCTGACGTTAAGGGGTTACCGGAACCCATAGACATCTACAACGTAAATGTGCCACCCACCTTGAGACATGAGTTCAAAGTTTCAGCTTTTGCAGTATAACGTGTAGAAATATAATTTAAATATTGTATATAAATATTGTGAATAGAAACTAATTTCAATAAATTCCGTTCGGAAATACTATACTACATTATTTCTAAATTGTCTGTCTTCATTGGTAGGGATGATGACTAATCTTAATCTTTGTATGTTGTTGCCTTGATGTGCATCACCTTTTGGTTTACAACACTCATAAGCAGAATATGAACTATTTCGTTACAGCGTTGGCGCCGTTTGTGTTGAGAGGCGCATGCCCTCAATGTTCCGTGCAGGAGTCGCGGCACATTCGCCGCACACTAGCATACATACAACGTAACTACCCATGGGAATGGGCGAGAATCGTACGACAATACGGCTGAAGATTTAATAAAAATTTTAATTGACGTTCGAATTCATTTATTCAAATTCGATTTACCGCGCTTTTTATTATTCGCGCCTTTTTTATTTTATGTCTAGTATAATATACTTACATACATACTTTTATTAATTTTCAATAAACAAGAAAGATAGTAGGTAAATGAACAAAAATAATTCAATATGACCCGTATAAACGAGGTTGCCTATTCGTTAATAGCGTCACAATCTATTGTTTGTAACAAGCAAGAAACTATTGAATTAATAGTCAATTTTTCCATAGTTAGTTAATTAATGTTAATCAATAAATAATTAATGAAGTTTCACTTGTGCATAACAGCGAGTCAAGGTGTCATTATTTCAAAACTATAATTAGGTTATAATTCGTTTAAAATATTTTTTCTTATAAACGGTATACATATATACCTTATGTGTACATGTATGAGTGACAGTAATAAATATTAAATGATTATAATGTGTTTTATTCGTAGTTTTCGCTCACGTAACATTCGCATAGCCCTGTTCGCGGTCTCGAGTCGGATAGAGGGGAGTGCAGAGTTAAGTAAGAAGTTACGGCACCACTACGCGATCGAGCATTCTCCAACCAGACTCGGTTAACGCTTCACCGATCACTAGAATCGTTTGTGTAATATATTTGTAATCATAGTTCTCGAGATCCGGGTCACTCGTTCCCGATCAGTAAAAGACACGACCTGTGCAAGAAAGTAAAAGTGATCGTTTCCACGTTCGTCACGATGAAGGTAAGTTACAGAAATTTCTCCGTATTACCCAGATATTAAGCGCGTTTAATTGCGGTTCTCTTAGTCTGTTGAACCCGCAAGGACTATCTACCTACCTGTTGTAAGTTAGTTTGGTAAACGAGGAAAATGTGATTGCTAAAGTGAATCGCATTTGTTTTATTGCAGTGCAGTTGATGACTTTTATTGTTATGAATGCCGTTCGTTGGTGACCACAGATAATATTGATTATAGTCAATGTTTTTAAATCTCAATACGCGGTAGTCACGTTTGTCAAATCTAAAGTTTCTTTTTTATTATTTTTTCGAATACAATTCTTCTTTCAATTTCTTTGCTGTAATTATACACGTGTATGACAATCATAATTATATGTTTATATATATTTCAAAATTACTGAAAAAAGAAAGCTAATAATATCGTTTAAAATTTTGAACTTATTGAAGATATAAAAAAGACGTTAGTACCGAACTCTAATCTGTTACCGTTCATTTTAGAAGTAAGTCGTTTATTTACATGCAGTTTAGATTTTCTTTGGATGTCTGCTTTAATAGTTCCGAGAATTTACCATTAACTGTGGCCAGCATCAATTAAACTTGTGCACGATTGCATGATGTTGTCCCGAACAAAATTGTTGTTCAACAAGCTTTAAATTTAAATAGGCGATATCAAGCAGAGCCCTCTTGCAACCCTTACTTTGTCTCTGAAACAGATTAATCAAGCTACCTACAGACCTCCAAAAAAGCCGCAAGCGTTATTATGGACAGAGCTTTTATATTAGAATCCATATTTCTATTTACTTCGCGCGAATGTAGATTAAAAAAAAAGTCGAAGCTTGCAAACGATTGCTTAATGTTCGCTCACTTAAAAACGCATAAAATAACGGCACAAGTTACGTAACTTATGACAATATAAACACATCCTAGTTTAGAGCTCATTAGCGTCTGTATTACTTTAACATGACTTAAATACTCATTATATACAAGATCTGTTATTTTTGAACTTGCGTAACTGTGACGACGTTCGAATCACGCTTTCGACCTCAAACCGACATCGTTTAGTTTCCTTAGAGGTAAATTGAGCAAAATATCATCAAAGCATTACGCAGACATTTGAATTGAAGCACCTTGGACGTGTACTTAGAAAATAAGTTACCACCGAAAACAAATTACAATACTTAGAACGTACACAATAGCTCATAACTTCGTTTAATAATTATTAGGATCTTGTTTGATTCGTGTCGAGTATTGTAAGTATTCAAAATATTTAGTTGCATTCGTAATCTCTTTGGTTTTTAAAACTATTTATAAGTAGATAAACAAAAGAAGAGCGTGTTTTATGGATGTCATAGTTAATTATGTACTAGTTAATAACCGTTTTTTTTATAACGCCATCTTGTTGTGTCTTTAAAGCGGTCAGTTGCCCTCAATTAAGAAAAATAGTATTATTATTCGCCAATAGATGTCGGGAAGAGTTGATTATTCAAAACACGAATAAAACAACATTTTCTGAAAATAAATCGTAGCTAGATCGATTTATCGCCCCCGAAATTCCCTGTATACTAAATTTTATGAAAATCGTTGGAGCCGTTTCCGAGATTCAGATTAAAAATATATATACAAGATCTGCTCGTTTAAAGGTATAAGGTGTAATAGAAAGGAAAAAAAAAAGTCCGAAGCAACGGTACATGTTATGTTTAGTAATAAATGAATGAGTAATAAATAACGTAAATTAATGCTCCGCCCTTCGCCCTAAATTAAGGTCCCGACACACACGCAACCAGCGCTGGTTTTTAGAGGTTACCGAGGCCTCCCACACGCATGTCCAGTGTCCACTTTGAAAAGGCGGCACGACATGAAAACCCTTTTGTCGTGGCCGCTGAGAATTACTTACCCGATCCTGTAGACCGAATGGTAAATAGTTGACATCGCCCAAAACGCGTCATTACAGATCCTCCCGATCCATTAACGGTGCTTTTAGGTACCACAAGTACCGGTTACCGTCCTCGTCGAACCGGACGCTTGCGACGAAGGGCTCGACGAGCGAATTAACCCATACCCCACAGCCCACTGAGTTTCTCGCTGGAACTTCTCGGTGGTCGCGTTTCCGGTCCGGTGGTAGATTCTGCGAAGTTCCTACTGCTCTTGCTAGAGCCAGTGTTAGCAACACTTCCGGTTTGAGCCCCGTGACCTATATGTTAGGGTGAAGCTGAAATAGCCTCTCAAGCCTATCAGTATATATAGGAGAGAAAAAAACAAGCATGTACTAAGCCGTTTACAAAAGGAATACATCTTAATATTGGAATCTAATAAAGATTTAATCGTAATGTAAGATCGTGTGCAGTGTCCTGTTTCAATTACCAAAGAAAAAAAAAAACATGTGGTATTTTCTCTTTGGATTGTGTGTGTGAGAATGGATCTGCCGCTACGTCGACCGCTTTACAACAAAACAAAAAGCAACAGGTAGAGCAAAATATCTTTGTCATACTGAAGTCATGAGTTGACTCATCAAGGGCCTTGTTGGTAAAGTCATACTTGCCCGGTTCAATGATCAACAGAAATTTAAGCCTTATTATTCTTTTTCGTCTTATTGTGTCAACATAGCAAAGATCAGGTCTGCTTCCCTTAAACTTTTAATGGTTTGTGGTGTGTATGCAAATGTCCGATGATCTTGATTAATGGTTTTCTTAGCAAGTTTTAGATAATGTTCCATACTATATCCAAAAAGAAATCTTTTCTTTTTTTTTTCAATCGGTAATTGCACCACATTTAATAGCTTTCTTAAATGAGTCTTGTCCACGTAAAGGTTTTTTTTATTGCCCTTGTAGGCAAACGAGCATACGGCCCATCTGATGATGAGTGGTTACCGTCGCCCGTGGACTTCAGCAATGCCAGAGGCAGAGCCAAGCCGCTGCCTACTGTTGTGTTGTGTTGAAGAGCTCGCTCTTACCGTTATGACTTTTGTTGGACCATTGTACTTTTTCTAATGTTTTTTGCATCTGTTTTGACTTTAAAGTAATGTATAATTAAATGTAACTAAGTAAAATGACGTTACAGCTCATCTTGACTTATTTTTTATATTTATTTATTTATTTATTACATTTCATGTAAAATTAACATTGGCGGAATGAATTCTCTAGCAGTCAACCAAAGGTAGTACAGAGTAAATAGTGGTAGGTGCAATAAAATTTATATTAAATTACAAATACATACACAAAAAATATATATACTTAAATACACAATCACATATACATATTTAATCTATAAAAAAAACTTCTGCATTGTGTGTGTAATAGAAAAATTGCATCCGTTGACATCGGCGTTGTATTCTATTTGAATGGAAAGTAGGCGAAGGGCAGTAAGTTGGTGGTTTGTTGCATAGACGCAATTTTCAGTAATTTCGAGAATTACTTGACGGAGTACCATCGCTTTTTACTGTTATAATACGTTGAAGGATTATCGAATGTGTCACATGGTCGCCGTATGAATTTAATCATTTTAACGCAGTTTTTGTGCACCGTTGAACAGATTGATAGAATCGAGCACAAACAAGATTTTAAAAGGTTTTTTTATAGTTAAGTTTAGGTTAGAATTTATTTAGTTTTCAAAATAATTTTTATCTTGATAAATTATTGATGTTTGATTCCTCCTCCTCGTGTCGTGTTCCTCATGTTTGAGGGTCGTGACCACCATCACCCATGAGCTTCAAACTTAAGATATTTTTCCACTTTCCCCTGTCCACGGCGTCATGCAGCGCGCTGTACACTGTACTGTCCAAAGCGGTGCGGATCTGATCGGACCAACGAGTCTGGCTGCGGCCTCTAGATCTGTTGCCTTCAACTTTCCCTGTGATCATAAGTTTTTCCAGGTTATCGCCGTCTTTCCTCACAATGTGACCAAAATATTCGAGGATCCGCTTCAGACATACAGTAGACAGTCTCATTTTGATGCCCAGTTGTTTGATTACTACTAGTAAATTATTCTTCACCAATATTAATATCGATATTGAAAATACTAGATTAACAAGTATCTTATACCTTCATTTATATAATACTAGCTGACCCGGCAGACTTCGTAGTGCCTCAATCGATAAATAAAAGATAAATATAAGATTTATGTACCTTTTAAACATTCTCTGGACTTACACAAATAATTCGAGATCAAAATTAGCCAAATCGGTCCAGCCGTTCTCGACTTTAGCGAGACTAACAAGCAGCAATTGGCTTGCTATGC